ACACAAGTAGATATAGATTTTGTAATTGTAGGTTTGTTTTGAGAAACAATGCACTTGTTTTTGTAAATATTTCTCAGTTCCCATGCTCACAGAATGCAATCAAGCTGAACCATGGGCCAAACCACAAAGTAACCCTCAATTTTCTGCTTAATTAGAGGCACGTAACTACACATAAATATATATAGGATATAGGTATCTTTATCGATAGATAATTGTCATTGGCCCCCTTGACAAGTCAAGTGACAACAATTAAATTGCCTTCACTGTAGAATGATTATTTAAATTGGCTTACATTAGTTCTACATATTTTTTTGGGGTAGATTGAACGGATGAGATATGAGAAGAGTATGTATGCAACGAAAATCATTTGTAAAGTTCACTGATCAATTTCTATATAGAATTTAGGTCTGATGAAATAATTGTACAATATATATACAACGATTTCGGAAGACAGAGAAATACTTGTCCATCGTGATTATGGCTTTATCTGCTATGTTTTAAAGGCGTCTTATCAGTCACTTGCAAAAAAAACCAACTGAGAACTGCAATTGAAAACCGAGCAGGAAAAACAGATTAAGGTTGGCACTAAAGACGCTTTTATGCGCTTTAATTTTTAATTGTTTACTTACTTTTTTGTTAATACATACTTTAGTAAATATTTTTCATATTTATCACAAGCTCTATGACCCACACAACCTTATTTTTATACGAGTCAAAGTTCATATGTTTAACTCATTCATGAAACCTTAAGCAATTTAAACGTGAAAGACAATTGTTTATGTAAAAGCTAGACTTTGGCTCTACCTATTTATTTTCAAGTTTACATTTCCCATTGACTTATAAATTATGGAATGAAGGCGCTTCCGTCAGCTGGCTGACTTTGATTTGTAATCTTACTTAACCTCAGGCACAAGCCCTTGCCTTATAAACTGCATTCTTTTGGATACACAAACTGGTTTCCTAACATTGAATATTTAATTTTAGAATTTCCCATTTAGAAATGTAAACACATTGCTTTAGTTTTTCGAAGCACAAAACTAGCAGGGAATTTCCCGGCAATGCTAGAGAGTATTCCAAAACTGGTTTTCAATTGCATGAGAATATTCTCATTCTATATTAGGAAATTGTTATGATTAAAATTATCATAAGTGAGATTTGTTCAATGCCGGTTTATCCCGACATAAAGAACTTGTTGTTGGAGGTCATATAGAGCTATTGTTTTATGCAAATATCTTTATATTTATAATTTTTATGTCCATGTCACCATAGAAACTAAAGCTAGTAAATACTAATATTTACCATATTGATATATTAAACATATGACTTTTATGGCTTGTCTGAACTGAAGAAAATAATATTTACATCACTGAGAGTTCTTAATCCGATTTGTTTTGCCACTTGAGCATTTTCCCTACTTTTGTGGAAAAACGAACCAAACAGACCGACCCACTTCACCCACATGCACAAGGGGCCAGTGGAGCGCATCCACAGAGCTTTTGGATGGCTGATAAGACTTGGACGGCGCAACCAGAAGAAGAGGCAACAAGAACAGGGAAGCCTTTATCAGTCCGGGAGTGAAACTTTGCACCCAGACATCTGGTCGAGGCCATCGGCGTCTCACTAAGCAGATTATTACTCTTTGGACAATGCAGACGGACGACCCAAAAAAAATTAACCGACTTTTAAATACTCGGCCATTTGTAACGTCAATAGTAAAATCGTTGCATAGTTTTCAGCGTTATGCCATGCTACCAAAGTGTTTAAATCCGATATTAGCACAGTTTCGTTTATAGAACATTATTTTCTCAAAAATATGTTTGATATTTATAATGTTTGAGGGAAAATAAATTAAACAAATAAATGAAATTAATAGTATAAAAAATCAACAAATTACAAAGAAACTCTTTCAAAATGCTCTATGAACAAAGAAAGCATTGTCTTCTGGGTTATCTTTGAACCTTTTTTATATAATTCAAATCATTTAATGCCGTCATCCAAATTCTTTTACTTGTGATAGATAAATAGTAGTTGTTTTTGATAAACGTTATCACATTATCTTACTTTTGTACACAAAGCAAACATAGTTTGTATAAATAAGTACATTAGGCTCCACAGCATCCCTATGAGTAATACCGCCTAAGTAGACGCCAAAATTCTCAACTAATTATAACAACAAATACTTTTTCGAAACACCATTTTAAAATATTTATTTTTAAAAATCAAAAAATTCTACCTGATTTTATTTTTATATCTTCAGTTCAAGGTGATTTTCATCTTGCCATCATATGCCGGCTGTTTTTTTGGTGTAGCCTACTTTTTAGGGTCAGAAAAATCGAAATATAATATATAAATTTAGCTCCTTTGTGTGTGTCCCAAAAAACAAAAAGGGAAACGTGCTTACATTATGCAACAATATAAGTGAGTTTAGGCCATATATTGATTTTATAGACAGTTTTCTTATATGCCGGGTCAAATCAGGTTTTGCCCAAATGAGAAGAGGTACAGAAGAGAAAGAGGTGACGATAAAGGAGGATAAAGAGGAGGATGTAGAAGATGTGGCACCGAAAGGGCGATAGTAAGCGAGCGAGATAGAATCAAAAGGAAGCCTACGGAGGTCAAGGCGGGCACACATGCATTTTTTTCTTTTTTGGTCATTGATTTTTACTACTTATATACACATGATCTTACCACAAAATCTGGACTACTTGTAGATGAAACACATTTGTCGGGTATATGTATTTATATATTTTAGGCATACACTTAAATTAGCCTGGGAAAATCAATGAAAAGTTTACGTTTCGGCACTCGCGGGTTCCTCTTCTCTTGTGTTTTCTTTTTTTTTACCGGGTCGTTGTGGGGGGCGGCGGCGGCGACGGCTACGGCGGCGGACAGACGGAGGGGGGCTCGAAAAGAGAGCGAGGAAAAGTCTTAGAACCGAGCACGGAACATCAAAAAACTGAAAACTGAAAAAATTACTACCAAACTTTGCGGCCGAACGTTCCAAACAGAACTGCCAGGCGATGGAACTTGGAAACAGAGTCCAGTCCCTCAGTTGCCGTTGCCGTTTGAGTCTCCGTTTTGAGCATGCGTGCAACAACAACAACAACAACAACAACAACAACAACAACAACAACAAAACAACAACAACAGTAATCGCATGAATGAAGCCATGGAGAGAGACCAGGAAAAGTTGAAGAGAGACCCAGAGAGCTTTCTATAGTACACTTGAAGAAAACATATACTATTTGAGATTTTTATTTAATAAATTTACTAAAATTAACTAAAGTGAAACTAACAAACATTGCTCTTAGATCTCAGTTAATTTAAAAATATTTATTTTTTAGATTTTATATATAAATTGTAACTACTTTTTCTTACAGTGTTCGAGAGCTCCATTGTGAGAGGCCCCATGTGGGAGAGAGTACCGAGCTCCAGTCATAACAAACAACGGCCAAAATGGCAAACAAACTACACGTGCTATATAAATCTGTCAGCGGGAGAGGGGAAGCGGTGGGGCGAGGGTGTGGCAGAGAGCGCAAGGTGCTCGCTAGGCCCCAAAGCCGGCTGCTAAAAGAGAGAGTGAGCGAGCGAGCGAGCGAGCGTGGGAGCCTCCAATTGTGTCTGGTTGGTTGTTCTTATAACAGTTCAAGGGGGGCAAGGGGGGCAGGGGGGTGCCAGGGAACTTGGGAAGCGGCAGACAAACGGCTGACTTTTTATGGCCAGGAGCAACGACAAGGGGAGAGGGACAAGTGGTTTACCTCGCGTGACGCACTTGCTCCATAAGGTCCTGCAATGCGACATGTTTTGCGAGGGAGGACACAAGACTTAAAAGGATCTATACATTTCATGCCATTTTGAGATATTTTAAACACTTGTAAGGAGAAATTTTTAGTTCGAAAATTATTTTGGTATTATTTCTTATATATTTTAAATTATATCATGGAAATAAATTGAATAAAAATATAAATAACCATAGGACATGTTGTTACTAATAAATTTGATTAATTTAAGCAAGTTTCCATTATGAAAGATTGTTGATTTTGTAACTTTAATTTAATAATAATATATAGATATTTTTACAATATTGAAAATGCATGCATAACAAATCTAAAATATTTTAAACTAATTAGAGAGTACACAAAATCATTAGAGACTTAGAATAGATTTTATTTTTCTTGAAATATGCTAAAAAACTTATCAAGTTGGAACCCTAGTTTTTTATTAAATATTTCAAAGACACTTTAATAAAATTAAAATCCTTTTTAATTTATTTTGCGCTAATTTTTAAAACAACCCTCGTCCTTTTGAGGCAGCAAAAGACTGCCATATTATTTCTGTCCACAACGACAGCTGTCTGTCGAGCTGAAAAGTTTATTGACGAAGAATCTATAATTACATATGTACTTGTAAAAGGTTAATTCGATTTAACTGTCAATTTTTTAGTCCTTTAAAGTCCTTTAAATATAGAATGAGGGAGGAGCAAAGAAAAGTGTAATACATGTAATTAGGTGAATCAGCGGAAAGTAACTGCAAATTGTGGTTACGTATCTCAGAGATACATTTAAGAGTTGGTGTGGGCCTTGTTTATTCAGGTTTTGTGGCTTTTTTATGACTTCCCATAAAGAGCATAAAGTCAAAAGGGGTTCTGAGGGCAAAGAACCAAACAAAACTGAGTGAAAACTCTTTAAAAATGTAATGTAAACTTAAATATTTTATTTTACATAGCATATTTTTTAAATTTTCATTGAGCATACTTTGAGGCTACCTCATAATAGTGAGTATCTCAACCGTCAGATACTTTTCGGGTCAGCTGTTGCCCCAGTTTTTTTTTTCAAAGGGACTGCCTTGTCCAGTGGGGTCAGTGTCATTCTTTCTTTTTTTATCGTATTTTGTGAACCGCAAACCGCAAAAGTTTAAATGTTTACTTAAAAACATGAAAAGCTTTTTGCATTCTTCAAAGAAGAATACTTTAAGTGCTTATTGTTTGGTTAACACTCGAACTATGGACAGCCGTGAGGTGAAAATATCTTTGGAGGATTCCCCGAGCTCCGAGGGGAGCTTCGCCAGTACCACAAGTGGACCATGTTGTGGCTTAGCCAGCGATTTGGAAATGGAGCAGGAGGATAAACCACAGGAACACATGTCCTCGAGAAGCTCCAGTGATTGCAGACATCTAAATACAAAGAAGAAATGCTCCAGCCAACTTTCGGGAGGAAATAGTTATGCTACAAACAAAAATGTGGCTGAAGGTAGGAATTAATTTAAAATTACCTAATTTAAGCTTTAATTTAATCCTACTTTCTTGCAGGTCTTATGGATATAGCTTTACTCTCAGCCAATGCAAATCAGTTGCGATTTTTGATAACCTACAACGACAAGGCCTCCACTTATATATACAGCATGATAATGGTGATACTTTCCCTGGTCCTTCAACTTCTAGTTGGCATAATGCTGATCTTTAAGGTAGACATTATCCCAAATAAAAATTATATAATTTATATATAAAATCTAACCACCAGAGACGCCTTAAGAGAATCAAGAGCCAAAGTTACGAGAGAACAAATGATCTTCTTGTAATGGGAGTTTTCATGATCACAGTGATCAATATAATGCTGGCAGCCTTTACCACAACCGATGGCAATGCCCATTAAAGGAACAATTAATAATTATATTCAAAGTATATTTATACATATATATTTAAAATTGTATTTGATACAATATAACAGAAAGAACTATGTGGTAAATGCTAAGGTAACACGGAGAGAACCTTTAATCGAACGATCGTTCAAATATTTCCAGCGGCTCTCACACATAAATGCACTTGACGTATCTGACGTACGATATCTCAGCTTGTGTGGGGGACTTGGATTAGTTTAAAGGATTAATATTCCTAGCCCGAGTAATCCTTCTTGATGCACTTGGCAATGGTGCTCAGTTGCATGTTGGTGGTGCCCTCATAGATGGCTCCAATCTTGACGTCACGGTAGTACTTCTCCTGGGGGAAATCGCGGGTGAAGCCCACACCACCCATCCAGTCGACGCACTTGATGGCCGCCCTCTGGGCCACCTCGGAGGCATAGTACTTGGCCATGGCGGCCTCCTTCTGGAAGGGAACACCCTGCTCCTGCAGACGGGCGGCATTGTAGGTCATCAGGCGGGCAGCCTCGATCTCTGTGGCCACGGTGGCGATCTGATGCTGCATCGACTGGAAGTTATAGATGGCATCACCGAACTGCTTGCGCTCCAGCAGATACGGAATGGTGGCATCGAAGGTGCCCTGGGCCAGACCCACCATCTGGGCGGCAATGCCAATGCGTCCCTCGTTCAGGAAGCCAGCGGCATACTTGTAGCCATGACCAAAGGTTCCCAGGATATTCTCCTCGGGCACACGGACATTGTCAAAGGTCAGCATGCAGGTGCCAGATGCCCGGATGCCCAGCTTATCCTCAGGCTTGTTCACAATCAGACCAGGTGTCTCGCGATCCACAATGAAGGTGGTGATGCCACGGTATTTCTGAAAGAAATTTTAAAAACATCTATAATAGTTTTGAAAGGTAATTTTCCTTGTTCCAGATTTGGCTACTATAAAACATTTGCACACTTCTTGAATTAATAATCTACAGATTGAACTTTGATCTGATAGCGATAAGATGGCAATTATTTAAACCCACATAAAGATTAGCTATGGAAAATATTATAAGATCGAGATAAGGTGTAATATCGAATACTCTGTGCTACTTACATCCTCTGGCTTGGCATTGGCAAAGACCAGGAAACTCCAGCCACATCAGAGTTGGAGATCCACATCTTGGTGCCATTGATCACATAATGGTTACCATCCTTCTTGGCCACCGTCTTCAGGGAGAAGGCATCCGATCCTGCTCCGGGCTCGGTGAGGGCAAAGCTACCAGCATACTCCTGGGCCAATTTGGGCAGATATTTGGCCTTCTGCTCGGCATTACCAAACTTGATCATCAGTGAGTTGACCAGTGTGTTATGGATATCCACAAAGGCGGCCACGGCGGGATCGATCTTGGAGAGCTCCTCAACCACAATGATGTTGGTCATGAAGTTGCAACCACTGCCGCCCAGCTCAGTGTCGATCTCAATACCCATCAGGCCATTCTCAAAGACGGCCTTAACCACAGAGGGATCAAATTTGTGCTCAAAGTCCATTTTCTTGACCAGAGGCTGGATCTGATCCTGAGCCAGTTTGGCAACTGAAATTTAAAGGAAAATTGTTTATTTAGTTTATAAATATAGAAAAAATTATTAGAAAAATTTGTTAAAGTGTAAAGCTTAAAAGCTTAAAAGTTCTGTTGGTATAAATCATGATCATGATCATAAGTAAAAGCTTTAACTTAAGTTTTTTCGAAAGCTTTAAAAACTTTTAACTGCACGTTTTCTTGACTACAAATCGCTCAAAAAACAAGTCTAAAAGCTTTTTTTTATTTATTTTTTACTCTATTCTGCCTTTTTTTCTTCTAAGGGGCCCGATGTCTTTGCTGTTAGGGGTTATGTTTGTATAAGTTGGGTATGTCTCTATATAAACATGTTCCTATGTGGCTGTACATATATTGGATACAAATTCCATGTGTGGTGCTAAGTGTGTGTCTTTTTATCAGCAGATTCTCCTCAAAGTTATTCTCTGATCGCGTGGGGCTCTCCAGCCAATTTTTTCTTTCAATTTCTATTATTCTAGCAGCGCGTTTATTATTGATCTTTTTTTAAAGCATTTATTTTTCCTGAGTTGTTTTTTTTTTTGTCTGTCTAAAAGGCCACCAACTGGCACACCCTCTAAATTTCTCACACCCTCCTGGTCCTTTTTTCTCCTTATATATTTACAAACTTCCTGCTTTTTGCATTCTTTCTCTATCATGGGAAGTATTTTAATAATTTATTTAGTTTATATATTCACTTAGTTTTCTTGGCCATATGTGCGATGGACATGAACATTTTCAGACAGGTGTGACGTGTCCCAAGGGATACAATGTTACAATTTATATGTCCTAGTTTTGGCAAAATGGAAAAGTCCTTGCTTTATTCAAAGGAAAGTTAGCTGAATTTTTAAGTAAATTTTTTTTTTTAGTTTTTTGCTAAATTTTTTAACTTTTATAAATGGAGAAGACTGTACTAGTTAATGGAATATTTTGTGGGAAACTGTACCATTTTCTGTTTCCAGTTTCAGTTAATTGTTTATTTAAATTTAAAAATTCTTGTAAAATCCTAAAATAGATAATTCCTCATTTGCTCTGTACCTCTACTTAAAAGTGTTTTTGAAATAATATATATATATAAAAACCAGTTAAACCTTATGCACTTAGCCACTTTGCATTCAGCTCAGATTACGCAACCATCGGACCATATAGACACACACACACTCTCACCTGGAATTATTTCTATACATATATATAGGAAACCATATAGATTGAGACCAACTTAATGATTGATAAGCAGCGGGGACAAAGGAATATTTATTTGCCAGAATTTAAAATGTAAAATTGAGGTAAAAATGTAACCTTCCCAACTAGGAATTGTCTGGATTTGCGATAAGGAGGTGAGTCCTTTCCGCTCAGCGATTCAACTCTCTAGGGAAGGGCGTCACCAAGAGACACGCCCCCGGTTGCCCGGTATGATCACTAGAACAGTGATCACAGGTGGGCGGAGGGCGTGAAACAGTGGCATTTAAATGCTCTATCACAAGTGTAACGCTTTCCGGTTGACATTCGAAAACCAAAACCGAACAGCTGACTGACTTGTGAAAATTCGGAGAGGGTATTTAAATCAATTTTTTTAATATAAATATTTTTTTTTATTTTTTTGTAAGGACTGGAAATCATTGGAGAAATAAGCCAGGCTTCGAACTCGCGCTTTGGGAGTATTTCTATATATATTTCTTTAATTTACCGGCAGCTCAACGAGCAACGCCAACGCCGGGCAAGCATAGGCAGCAACGAAAATCGTGGTTGAGCGGTGGCGGCAGCAAAAAAGCTATTTTTAGACCACGTGTGTGTGTGTGTGTGCTTGCTCCTATAAGGTGTGTGTGCACGCCACCCACCCCCTTTTTTTGTGGAAATTATTTTATGAAAACGAATTTGTTTTCTAATTTAAAGTATAAGTATAAAATAAATCTATTGGAGAAAAGTAAAACAGAGCAATGGAAAAATTAGGTGTCAAGTAAAAGCTGACGATAAAGGTAGACCTTGAACTTGCTTAGTTGGCAGCATTTTAAGGTGATAATTATAAAGCTTTTAAAGAAGATTAATATTTTTAAATATCTTTAATATCTTTGGAAGCCAATATTTCCTTATGAAGTATTTCTTTCACAATCTAACCCCCTCAGAGCTATTATATTTGAATTGTTTTCACTCTATAAAATAGCATAAAATATGTAATATTTCTTATATATTTTTAAATTATGTTTTTAGTTAAAAACAAATTATTTTCACTTTAATATTTTCGATTCTCTCTAGAGAATGAACATATTATTTAATAATATAATAAACCTTTAAAAATAACATTATAAGTACAACTCAGTTTTGTTTTCAGAAGGATAACATTATCCTCTTTCCTTAATATGTACATATTTTTCCTATATACGATAACATATATTATATAATTTTTGTGCACACACCAGTCAAGTTAATTCAATTAACTTCTTGTGAACTATATGGTCAAATCAATGAAGGGCATATAATAAAGAAAATCATATACAAGTAACAAATAAAATTTCCAGAAATTAATATATATACCAATATCAGAAAGAAAATCCTCTAAACCTGCCGCGGGACTGATATTAAATGACATTTTACTTCCACTATCAAAATAAAAATGTGCTTATCTGGCAAGCAAACTGCCCTCCACTCTCTGGCTCCCTAACTAAACACGCTTTATCAGCAGAAAAAAAGAATAAATACTCGAAAAATAGTATTACCTACATTATATCAGTGTAGTCCATTTTAAAAGAAAAATGGAAAATAAATAATAAACAACAACAGAGGCAGCATCAATATGCGATGCTCGGAGTTACGTAACAAGCAAGACAACTAAACACCATAAAAAAATATCTCAAAATTTCAGTATAGGTAGTAAAAAACGCTTATCAAATTGGGGTTATATGTAGAGTTCACATCTATATAGTTCATAGGGTAACTCACCAGTCTCCTTCATCATCTTCTCGTCGTCGGTGAGGAAGGTGAGCGGGGAGGAAGACCAGTCGCCGAGGACATCGCTGCATTTTGCTGACGTGCCGCAGCATTGACCAGCTAACATCAAAAATAATATAAAATTGGAGCACAAATTAATATAGTTAAAGTGTCGCTTTGAGGGGGCGTGGCACACACTCACCATGCGCACAGGCAGTTTCTTCAGGCTGTTCATCATCTTGATTGTGTGGTGGCAATATTAATTTAATCAAGTGGCCAAATGGACTTTTCTTAAGTTTTTAGGACCGGATCCACAACACAACGGCAACCAGTTGCTCAAACGCGACTGAAATTTCCATTCTCCAGCAGCAGCAGCGATCACCGAAGAGCAAGAAGATTTTCAAATGCAAGCTTTTCACCACACAGTTGAGTTCAACACAGCAAGCTGAGTTGCTGATTGGATTCTTGTTATGGCTTTTTTTGAACTTAACTTATAAAATTCCATAACTAAGCCAAAAACGCATAATTTCAATTCGGAAAGTGTTCTATGTTAGTTTTTTTGTATGTTAATAAATCTGCATACTAATTTAAATATTTAGGAAAATTAAATTTTGACATTTTTTTTTATTTAATTATTACGATGTAACCCCTAATAAAATTTTGAAAAAAAGTTAAAAATTTAATTTTTACCCGACATGGCTAGATCGATTCGGCTGTTAATGCTGATCAAGAATATATGATTTATAGGGTCGGAAATGACTCCTTCATATGATTACAAGCTTCTGAATAAAATTATAATCTCCTGCAAGGGTATACAAATTAGCACAGGAGCAATATATATATATATATATATCAATTAATATTTATAAATTATTAAATGAGTTTAGATATATATTTATAAAGTATTTAATGAGTTTAGATATATATTTTTAAAATCATATGTAAAATACAAGCATTCATATTTAAATACTAAATCTTACCAGACCTGTTTGACATTTATTACTGACATCAAGTGTTGGTAAGTTTTGTTGTTATCGATACTAATCGCATTGCAAATATAAAACCTAAAATCCTACATTTAGAAATTATATTTTATTATCTAATATAAAGACTAAAAATCGAAATGAAAATTATGAAAAATTTGTATTTTGAACCTTGAATTACTAAAAAGAAAAATATCAAAACATCGATAGTGCAAAATATCGATAGCGCCCAATGTTTTGCCACCACTAAGCTGTCAAATTTCTTTCTTTTCGTTGTTTTTCGACGGTAAGTGCGTTTTCGTGGTTAATTTCGTTTTTGGCCTGCCATCCTTGCATATTATTGCATATAAACAATGAAAACGGGAGGCAAGGCATGGCCAGACTCGATAAAGTAAATATTTCGAATTTCCGAGAAACGTAAACTAATGCAGTGCACCCATTTTGTTTACAGTCCGCAGCACAAGCAAGATGAAACTGAACAAGTTCGTGTCGTCGTCGCGCAGGAAGAACCGCAAGCGCCACTTCCAGGCTCCCTCCCACATCCGTCGTCGGCTCATGTCCGCCCCGCTGTCGAAGGAGCTGCGCCAGAAGTACAACGTGCGCTCGATGCCCATTCGTCGGGACGATGAGGTCCAGGTCATCCGCGGCCACTTAAAGACTAACCAGGTGGGCAAGGTTGTCCAGGCCTACCGCAAGAAGTTGTCGTCTACATTGAGAAGATCCAGCGCGAGAACGCCAACGGCACCAACGTCTACGTGGGCATCCACCCCAGCAACGTGCTGATTGTCAAGCTGAAGCTCGACAAGGACCGCAAGGCCATCCTGGAGCGTCGTGGCAAGGGACGTCTGGCTGCTCTCGGCAAGGACAAGGGCAAGTACACTGAGGAGACCGCCGCTGCCCAGCCTATGGAGACCGCGTAAATTACCGGCAAACAGTCTGGATCGCAATCGCCTCTGTGACGTCACTGTTTACTGTTTTTACCGTAACGATTAGTGTAAAAAACAACTAAAAATCGCGTGTGAAAATGGCGCCATTCTTTACAATAAAGAACAGTTGATTTTTCGCAAAAAATTGACAATGTTTCGTTTCCTTTTAAATGTATCAATCATTGAGCTGTTTAAGAACTGACTTGGCGACTAGGAGTCTAGTGTGCTTTGCATTATTTTGTTGATAATCAAGTGAATTGTTTTGTATTGTTTATCTCAATTGTTTTGGTTGCAAAAATTTCTTGATAAACATAAAATTGTGAAGAAAAGTGTAGGATTAATTCGTGAAATTCTAAATCTTCACTTTGGGCTTTCAGCCTTGCCTATATTTTCATGCTTGATTGTCTTAAATTAAATCGTTCAATAGTTTTTTCCATTTCTATAAACAATTAAAGATTCTTAACGAACAGGCATTGTATGATTTAGGAAAATTATCATAAATTTATTGTTTGTATTCGAGCTTTTTTATCAGATATGTATATCTATTATATATAAGAAGACACTTTATGGCTTTGGTTTTTGTGTTGTGCATTAGCAAGATCAAATACATCCTCAGTAACGGCGTCCGGAGCGCTGCTTGTTGGAATTGTAGGACCGGGACGATTACCTCGCGGTTCTTGCCCTTCGCCGGTTTCGGCTTCTCATAGTCCTCGCCCAACTTGCGCTGCTTTTCCTCCTTAATGAATGCCTTTCGCTGCGATGGGAACATTCCAGGGGGCTCCCTAACTATGTTGGCGCTGGCACAATAGGCCTGAGGATCGTAATCGGGTGTGTCGTCGTCATCCCAGTTCTCCTCGCACTCGATCTTGGCGTGCTTAGTGTCTTCGCTCAAAACGGCAGCCGCACTGGTCTGATACTGGACTATAATCTTGCGGTCGTCACAGGTTTTGAGGTGTGACTATAAAAATAATGGGGTTTAGGAGCAGTATGCTTAATATATTCGGGATAACTTACATAGTATTCTGGTTCTGGGATCAAATGCCCCTTATTGAAGGGGCAGACCATTAGATTCACCTGGTCCTTGTATAACTCACGGCATTTCAGAATGTGCTGTTGCAGTTTCTTGCGCAGCATTTTGTGCTCGTTGTTGTACGGGCATATACCATATCTGATTCATCGCAGTCCATGCTTAATAATTAAATAGATGCGAATCTCGGGTTGCTGTTTTTTGTTTATGCCTCGCGCTTCTTGCAGATAAAGTGTTGGTAAGCGAACGAACTTGGAATTTAGTGTTATTAAATGTTAATAGCCGTCTGATAGTTGTCACGTGTGAAACAAATATTTCTTATTTGGGCATTTATATTCTGTGAAATTATAAATTGCTTTTCCTAAATTGTGTATTACTTAATTTTACTTTCATTGAATTTTATATTTAATGTTGCATCAAACGATATTTATTTAAAGTATTGCATAGCGTATGCATAGCGTGCCCCAGCGTTCATCTCTATTTTTTTTTTGTTGTAGCCGTTGACCAGCACTGCTATCTATCTATAAACATCGCAGCTGTGAAAAATATTTATAAAAAAGTGAAATAAATAATTTTTATTCATTTTACTAGCTTTATAAGAACGGCAGCAAGATGGGCAAGGGATTCAACAACTACATGTGCAAGAAATTCTTTCACCCCGCCTCCAGGGACAATCTGAAAAGGGTATGTACTAATTCCTCTGATGAAATTGAGATTTTCTTCAAAGAAGTTTCAATATGATAATACGGAATCCTCTTGCAGGTATGGATGGCAGAGCAGCAGGCGGAGGCGTACAAAAAGAAGCAGGAGGAGCTGCGAAATCAGTATGAAAAGGAACAGAATCTGCACGAGAACAAGGCGATGCTGAGCAAGGACAGCAAGGATAAGCTGAGTGTTAACTTCATGTACGAGCCACCTCCAGGAGTGCGAAAAGAACGTGAAAAGGACGACAACGAGCCTGAGTACAAGTTTGAGTGGCAGCGAAAATACAATGCTCCCCGAGAGTCATATTGCAAGGGTGACACAGAGATCCGGGACCAGCCCTTCGGTATCCAAGTGCGCAATGTTCGTTGCTTGAAGTGCCACAAGTGGGGCCACATCAACACAGACAAAGAGTGCAGTATGTACAGCATCTCGATGAGCGAGCTAGAAAATTACACGCAGAGAGCGAGGCCACCGATATAATGTCCAAGAACGTCCTTGAAGAGCAATGAAAGAGGACGGTTTCATGATGAAGCGATCGGCAATGGACTGCAGAGCATTCACGCTATCCGCCAGCAGCATCAACTAGTGCCCAGCGATGGCGAAGAGGAGGCAGCCAGCTCTCAACCACAGAACCCAGAGCTTCTCTTTCTTAAGTCACTTTCGAAGAAGCAAAAATTAAAGCTCCTGAAAAAGCTGGAGAAGATTGAGCGCATGAAGCGTAAGGGCGACCAAGCCATCAAGAAATCTTCAAAGAAAAAGGCCAAAAAGCATAAAGATGAGAAGGATGGAAAAAACGAAAATCTAAGAGTGAAAAATCAGGAAAAAAGGAGCGGAAATCTTCAGTTGGGACAGTAGCTCGTCTTCATCGTCCTCATCCTCGGATAGTGAAGACAATGGCAGAAGTAATCACAAAGATGACAAGAGAAGCGGTCAACATAGATCCAGGGATGCTGAGGACCGTCACCACCGACGAAGGGATGAGCAAAGGAATCGCAGGGATCGTTCTCGGTCCAGAGAACGCTCTCGTTCCGTCAGCAGAGATAGGAGAAGGGAGAGAGACGCCGGAATTATCATGCCAGGCGATGAGACTTTCCTCGTGAAATCAATCCACCAATAAACTAATTAATCATTTTTTATATCCTCTTCAAAACTGACATTTTATAAAATCCTTGGTCACGAAATTAGATCCTGGCCAGCTGAGCTGTTGTAGAGGATCCAGCGGAGACGCAGAGCTCGGCGCCATGATTGCTTCCTCCCTCGCGAGAGATGCTCTTTACATGGATGTGGCTCTTGAGCATGGCAGCCCTTAGGATGAGCATCCTGGCGTGGCGTTGATACTGCTTACCCATAATCAGAGCTCGCTCGAAGGTGCTGTTCCTCTGGTCCGCCTCCTTGGCGTACAGGATCTTGTTGTGCGAATCGATGCGCGCCTGGATCTGTCCGTCCAATATCAGCTGCATGACCTCGTTCTCCAAATCCCCAACCGATGAATTAAAGGCCATGGCCATTTTGTGCATGTCTGCGGACATATAGGGACTAAAGTATTGGATCAGCGCCCGATTACGTATCTTGGTGTACAGAGCGGAGACATGGGGCGCTATATACATGTCTATCAGCAGATTGTCTCGGATTTCATCCAGCAGAGTCAAGCACGAGGCATACTTGCTTTCATAGAACTTGAATATAATATCCCGCAGCTGCGGCTCCAGTTCCAAGAAGAGTTTGAACGATGTGGAGGCAATGACCAAGCGCTTTAGCTCTGGTCGATCGAAGGTGGCCAAGGCGCAAAGTCCACCATAGACTGCAACATTGCTGGTGGAGATCATCTCGGGGAAATCGCAGTGATCAAAGTTGGCGTTGAGAAAGTGCTTGGCAGCCACCTTGTACTTCTTCATCTGCAACTCAGCCAGTCCGGCGGCGCACTCCAACCGAGTGTGCACCTGGGCGTTGGCTTCCTTGGAGCCCTCGGCGAAATCGGGAGTGCTCTCCGCTTTGGAAATGTAGCTCATGACGTGGGCCCAGTTTTGCAGATAGATGGACACCTTGATGACGTTCAGGCACATGTTAACCACATGCTTGCCACTGGTACAGTAATCCCTGGCCCGGGAGTAGCATTTGAGGGCGTTGGTAAGGTCGCCGCAGCTAAGATAATGATCGGCCAGATCATCGTGACCACGACGTATGCTCTCCTTGATCGAATTGGACTTGTAATTCTTCAGATCAGAGTCCAGTTTCTCCAGCTTTAGAGCGGCCTTCTTCATCTTAGTGTCCACCCAACGGCGTCATAGGCGAAGGCATCCTTCTCGCCGGCGGGCTGAGCCTGTCCTGGGCCTGGGCCACTGGCTGAGCGGCTATATCCGGCAAGGGAGCAGCGGCCGGAGCTGCTGCAGCAGCGGCAGCTTGCTGATCACTGACAGCCGGCGGAGCAGGTGCATTTCCGGCATTCAGATCGGCCAATCGCTTGTGGAGCCCCTGGTAGAGATTGACGTTGTAGGTACTCTGGACATAGGTAATGGCCATTTTCAGGGCCTCCACTGCCAAGACTGGGCAAACGTCCGCAACGTAAATCAGACGATCAAGCCGCACGATTCCCGAGTATTGATTGGCGTAAACTTCTAAATCGATGCTCGGATTCTCCACCACAATCTGCTGCTCCTCATTGTTCTCATTGTCCTCGTTGGGCGGCGCATCCACTTGCATCGGCTCCACAGCGTTCTGTTGTTTGCAAAATACACAATTGTCAGTAATGAAATAACCGATCTATGGCGTAGTCTGATGACTATTCTCACCTGCATAAGTGGCGGAATCGGCAGGACGGGCATCTTGCGGCGATTTGCGTATAAAAATTCTCTTAAGTTCCCGTTCTGTCAATTTATTTGTTCCGATTTGCAAATGATTCCAGTTTTTCGCATCGATACCGGCACGAGTTGGAGATGGGACAATCGGAGTCACGAGAAAAAGTATATTCAACTCTCAAATACCAATATTTGTTTATCTTCATTTTGTGTACTTATAAAAAACTGTTCAAAATAGTTTTATGTAGACTTTGAATAAAACTCTAAAAAAATTATTAATAAATAAATAACATAAGAGAGCACAAAATCACAGTTTTCGTAACTGTGACTTTGTTTGGTCACCCTTAGCTGACTGCATCGATATCTGCCAGTACTTTCAAACACTGTTTTCCCAGAGACAAGAAAAGAAGAAGGCACACGCAGTGATAAACTTTCATTGTTTGTGAAATAAAGTAAATAAAACGGTAGAAGTATACAAATAAAAACAAATCAATATGTCGAACATAACGGCAGCGGTAATAGCCAACCGTAATAAGAAGCATTTCCTGGGCGTTCCCGCTCCTTTGGGCTATGTGGCCGGTGTTGGTCGCGGGTAAGTGCCGAAAATTGTGCGTTCCTCACCGACAAACTTTTCTAATGGTTTCTATATAATTTCAGAGCCACTGGCTTCACCACCCGATCGGATATTGGTCCAGCCCGTGATGCCAACGATGTGTCCGACGATCGGCACGCTCCGCCGGCCACCAAACGTAAGAAAAAAGACGAAGAAGAAGAGGAGGACGAAGACTTGAACGACTCAAACTATGACGAGTTTAGTGGTTACAGCGGCTCCCTGTTCTCCAAGGATCCGTACGACAAGGATGACGAGAGGCGGATGCCATCTAGATTCGATAGACAACGCATGGATGAGAAGCGTAAGGAGTATCGTGACAGGAGGCTGCGTGAGGATCTGGAGCGTTATCGCCAGGAGCGACCAAAGATCCAGCAGCAATTTAGTGACCTCAAACGCTCCCTGGCCAGCGTCACTTCAGAGGAATGGTCCACCATACCAGAGGTAGGTGACAGTCGAACCGAAAGCAAAGGAATCCCCGGCGGAGAAGTTTACTCCCTTGCCGGACAGTGTGCTATCGAGGAGTCTGGGCGGCGAATCATCCTCCACGTTGGATCCCTCGTCTGGCTTAGCCTCTATGGTACCTGGAGTAGCCACACCAGGCATGCTAACACCCACAGGAGATTTGGATTTGCGAAAGATTGGCCAGGCTCGTAATACCCTGATGAATGTAAGTTATCACAGGTTTCTGATTCCGTAACTGGCCAAACGGTGGTGGATCCCAAGGGCTACCTCACCGACCTGCAGAGTATGATTCCCACCTATGGCGGCGATATCAATGATATTAAGAAGGCCCGCTTGCTGCTGAAGAGTGTTCGGGAAACGAATCCCAACCATCCGCCCGCTTGGATAGCCTCTGCCCGGTTGGAGGAGGTCACTGGCAAGGTTCAGATGGCAAGAAATCTAATAATGCGAGGTTGCGAAATGAATCCCCAGTCGGAGGATCTTTGGCTGGAGGCAGCACGCCTTCAGCCCCCGGATACGGCAAAGGCGGTCATAGCACAAGCTGCTCGTCATATTCCAACGTCTGTTAGAATTTGGATAAAGGCTGCCGATTTGGAGACAGAAACAAAGCCAAGCGCCGCGTATTTCGCAAGGCTTTGGAGCACATCCCTAACTCTGTCCGTCTGTGGAAAGCCGCCGTGGAGCTGGAGAATCCAGATGATGCCCGCATTCTACTTTCCCGAGCTGTGGAATGCTGTAACACCAGTGTGGAACTCTGGTTGGCCCTTGCCCGTTTGGAAACCTACGAAAATGCCCGAAAGGTTTTAAACAAAGCACGTGAGAATATACCAACGGATCGGCAGATTTGGACAACAGCTGCCAAGCTAGAGGAAGCCAATGGAAACATTCACATGGTGGAGAAAATCATTGATCGTTCGCTGACTTCGCTTACCGTCAATGGGGTGGAAATCAATCGCGATCACTGGTTCCAGGAGGCCATCGAGTCGGAGAAATCGGGAGCCGTCAACTGCTGTCAGGCCATTGTGAAGGCAGTAATTGGCATAGGAGTAGAGGAGGAGGATCGCAAGCAGACTTGGATTGATGATGCGGACTTTGTAAGTAAAAATATTTATATTATATATTCTATATTTCCTATATAATAATATTTATCCATCTTGTAGTGCGCCAAGGAGAATGCTTTTGAATGTGCCCGGGCAGTCTTCGCTCATGCCCTCCAGGTGTTTCCCTCCAAGAAGAGTATTTGGCTACGAGCTGCTTATTTCGAGAAGAACCACGGCACACGCGAATCCCTGGAAGCATTGCTGCAACGTGCCGTTGCCATTGTCCCAATCAGAGATCCTATGGCTGATGGGCGCGAAATCCAAATGGATGGCCGGTGATGTGCCTGCGGCAAGAGGGATTCTCTCGTTGGCCTTCCAGGCCAATCCCAATTCTGAGGACATTTGGTTGGCTGCCGTTAAGCTGGAGTCGGAGAATTCAGAATACGAACGTGCGCGGCGTTTGCTAGCCAAGGCCAGAGGATCGGCTCCCACGCCAAGAGTGATGATGAAGTCAGCTCGTTTGGAATGGGCGTTGGAGCGATTTGATGAAGCCTGCGGTTGCTTGAAGAGGCTGTGGAAGTATTCCCGATTTCCCAAACTTGGATGATGAAGGGTCAGATTGAGGAGCAACAGCGGCGAACGGATGATGCGGCTGCCACCTACACCTGGGCCTAAAAAGTGCCCAACTCCATTCCGCTGTGGATTTTGTCTGCGAATCTGGAGGAGCGCAAGGGAGTGTTGACCAAGGCGCGTTCCATCCTCGAGCGAGGTCGTTTGCGCAATCCAAGGTGCTGTTCTATGGCTGGAGGCCATACGGGTGAACTGCGTGCAGGTCTCAAGGAGATAGCCAGCACCATGATGGCTCGAGCACTGCAGGAATGCCCCAATGCGGGAACTCTGGGCAGAGGCCATCTTTATGGAAACGAAACCTCAGCGCAAGACCAAGTCTGTGGATGCGCTCAAGAAGTGCGAGCACGATCCCCATGTGCTGTTGGCTGTGTCGAAGCTTTTCTGGTCGGAACACAAGTTCTCAAAGTGCAGGGATTGGTTCAATCGAACGGTAAGTAAGATATAGAGTTTCTATAAAGTATAAGTAATCTAACCGTGGTTTTTCAGGTTAAAATTGATCCAGATCTAGGTGATGCTTGGGCGTATTTTTACAAGTTTGAATTGCTTCACGGCACGGAGCAGCAACAGAAGGAAGTCCTGGATCGCTGTATTGCCGCAGAACCAACGCACGGCGAGTCATGGTGTCGCGTCAGCAAGAACATCCAAAATTGGCAGTTCAAAACACCGGAGACGCTGCGCGCTGTTGTCCGGGAACTGTCCATCCCTATCTAAGCTAAGTTTCTTTTTTATTTTATAAAATATATATTGTCTTGTGCAGTCTTAGCGCTGCATCTCTCGATATCCTTTAAGAATGCCATAGACTAACTTAAAGTGCTTGAGATAACTCGCAGAGAAAGAGACCAAAGCTGGCGGCAGCTCCGCAGCCAAAGATGCCCAGGGCATAGCGGCATTCGGTGATGCCAATGGAGACAAAGCCACCCACCCCGCCTTCGCATTTGGCTTCTGTGGTATCCATTTCCGTTCCTCGCGATTCACCAGGCTCACCTCCCGTTGCCAACGTAATCTGGGGGAGAAAAGTGCTCAATCTTGCGGCTATTTTGGGATTCTTACTTACTGTCTTCGTATGAGTTCCTTGTAGGGAAAATTCTTCCGGTGGGAACGGCCAACATGGGCAACTGAAATGGCTCCAACTCCATCAATCCACACTTTTCTGGCTCACTGAAGGTGTCGCTGACGATTTGATAACCTGCCTGCAGTTCAACTTGATATGCGAATAACCCAGTTCGCATTCTTTCCATTCCCAAAACCGGGCGCATATAGACATTGTCGCCCTTGGAGGCAATTTTCTTGTGATACAAATTCTTGGTCACAGGATCAGTGGACTCTGTAAAGTATATCTTATTGTACTGCGTATCCTGAACACCTATCTCAAGGGGCGACTGGCCCAGATCAGTAAGCGATCTAATCGCATCCGAGGGACTCTGCAGCAGAGCGACTATATTAGCCGAGAAGGAGGTAAATAGAAAAGGGCCGCCACAAATGTAGTGAAGACTATGATCCTTGCTGATCGATTCCGAACCTCCACATAAAATCCCTGCTGGCACATAGCTCCCCAAACAAAGTTCAACGTATCCATATAGGACATATCATGGGTATGCGGTGAAAAGAGTAGTTCCACGACCAAGACAATCGTAGTTATGATGAGCAGCATTAGGATCGAGACCCACACATCATTCTCAAAGGGCATGGCAAATATATTGGCCACAGCCGATAGCGGAGGCTGTCGAAACATAATTCCAGCTCGTACGCGATAAGTCTCAGCCACAAAATCGACTAGAGCAATACGATCCAATCTCATAAAGATGGCCAGCTGAGCAAAGTCCAGTTCGTATCGCTGAAAGCGACCCATCAAGCCATCAAAGGAACCATTGGCTTGTCGCCAGCCATAGTTGATGGTTTGATAAGTATTGTAACTGAAATGGGATTGATTAATGTAAATAATTTATAGTTGTATAATTGTATGTTCTCCCACCTCATATTCAACCTGTTGGCCAGTTCCAGCATCAATCGATGATTAACCTTGGATATGGTATCAATATGCCGAAGCGACAATCCTCAATGTTGGTAAAGAGATCAGGAAAGGCAATAACTATGGCCGTATTGAAGACAATCCCCTCAAGATTTTGCCTATAGGTTATTGCCGAACCAAAGTGCTGCAGGGCATGGATAATATGCCTCGGATTTCGGATATTCTTACCCACCAAGGTTCTCTTCAGGGGCTTCCAGGCAGCCACCTTATACAGATCAATCAGGCTCGAAGAAAAGTTACCATCTGTGGTCTCATGGTGGAGTACTCTCAATTCGCTATCCGGCGGTATAAATATCTCGGATCCTCCAGTAGATCAATGTCTGCCTCATCCTCAGTGAGAAGTAACCAAAACCGATTGGTGGTGAAGTAATTGTGTTCCGATGCCGCTGACCAACGGAGCAGGTTCAAGGCACACTCGCTGCGGAATTCCAACAAAAGGATACCCAATTTGTAGGACGACTTGGGAAGTATAAACGATGTGGCCCAGTGGGTGGAGTTGTTGGGTTGGAAAGTCTGAGGGGGTGGAGCGTCCTCCAGTTCATCCAGGACATCGACATATTGCAGGTCCCTCAACGATGTCTCTGTACTGACCTGCACATAGAAATCATTGAGGTTGAAGTGCTGCCACAGCGTCCAAAGACGAGCATCCGCTGAAAAGGAAAAAAACAGGACAATAGAGAACAAAACTTGTGAGTATTCCTAGTGCATGATGTAAATATTAATTTGAAGAATTTGTATAGAGCTTTAAAGGCTTAAAAACGACAAGCACACACACTTTTAAAATGAAATATTTTGCAGAATTCTTAAAAATATATCTCTTATTATTCTTGTATTTTTTTCCAGTGCATTGTTGGGTCATAAATTTGTGCGAAAAGCACATTGCATGCAGTGGGTTAATTCACCAATGTCCGTGTGACAAACGACCAGCATCAGACTGTGAACGCCGTGGTGGCGATAGTAAGCGACTAGCATATCCGGCAACTGATTGCCCCACGGTGTTTTCGAGCTTGGACCCGGATCCTCCGGGAATATTCGCTCCGCCAGCTGCCAGTGACACGTGGCCCCGCCGCACTGATGGCAGCGACGAAAAATAGCAGGGGTAGCCAACGGAGCAGGAGGATAACTTGAACTTTCATCACTCCGAATATTAACGAGTTGCTGTCCATTCGCTTTTGCATTTTCCCCAGCACGGCAGGACTCGCATTTTTTTGTCGCTCTGGTCCTGTTCTGTTCTCTTTTATAGCCAAAAGACATTCACGACTGTAATTGCATTCAAGAAATTGCATTAAAAATTATGCATTGATTACGGTTCACTGGACACTGTTCGGTGCTGGACATCCAATCCCCCCATCTGCTGTCATTACGTTGGGCAATCTTCGCGAGCAATTTCGCGACAACTGCAATTGGTCATCGATGGCGTTTAATTGGTCCAAGCAAGTGGCGCACAAATTGTCCTCGTGGAAAGTGCGGACAAAGTCAATTACGTGTCAACGACAACCGGGGAATGGAGAAAGTTGGCAGAGAGTTTCAGGACTTGGCTTTGGCTTTCGGATAATCATCTACTCGTAACTTTCATGGTCGCCAGGTTGCGGATGTGTCTTGAGACTAGTGAACGGATTCCGAAAGTTTCTCTGTATTCGATGGTTTTTTGGTTTATTTTTTTATATCAAGCAGGGTATTATAATTTTAGTCAGGAGCTTGTAATGGTTTGAAGGATCTTGATCAGAATGAACAGGCGAATCTTTCTAGGCCTCTTTGGAAAGAATTTTTTTACAAATTTTTTGAAATTTTATAAGGGTTACATTTTAAAATTGATAAAAATTTTAATTTTAAATACACTATGCAAATTTATTAACCTAATTAAATTAACGAAACACTGGTTTCCAAATTAAAATTAATCCATTTTTGGCCTAGTTATGAGTTTTTTAAAATGTAATTTGCCAAATAAATTGTCATATAAAAAGCAATATTTAGGATTTATGACTTTAGCTTAATTGTTTAAATTCTAGAAAGTTTTTGGAAATTACATATTTCAGCATAAAGGCCTTAAATTTTAGCATATAACTTACAAATTGTTCTCATTTTCCTCCTTGCTAACAAATTTTCAACTCATGCTACATTCACTCAAACTACTTTAAACAAACTCTCTCCTCGGGTTAAATTGTGCATACAAAATCTTCTTTCCGGCTTAAAAACCAACTTTAAATAAGCAGAAGAAAATCAGTTAAAGAGCAAAAGTTTCAGCCAAAGCACAAGCATTAAGAAGCAATTAAGAAAATTGAATAGGAAATAAGAGAACAAAAAAAGTAAGCAAATTTGACCAAACTTTGGGGGCGAAACACATACATACATATGTATGAACACACACACACATTACGCCGGCAAAAAGAAACTGGTATTAGCCTGATGTCACAAGGACAATAACAATAACAAAAACAATGGCTAGAACACGTATGGCCCACACATACGACATTAACACAATTACAATCTGAACATGTGTTAGTCTCCAAGACATGCGTTGACTATAAAGAAAAATCCAATTAAAAGTGATAAAAGTTATTGAAGCGTAGCGCAGCCAGAAGGAAAAAACCGTCGGAGAATAACAACAGGAAAAACAAATGGCCGGAAAAGCGGAAATAAGAGGACAGGGAAGGCAGACCGGAAAGGAAGGCCCTGCAAAATGGCCGTACAAAGTGGCAGCCATTAGTGGCATTGGACCCGGACTATATGTAGCGCTGATTGCAACACCAGATTATCGCACACAGATTTCGGCGAGTGGCGAGACATGCCAAGGACGAATCAAGATTCAGGGGGTTTTGCCGGCCAACTCTAATCATCATACGAAACGAGCAGAACAAGTTAATTTTTCACTCTGAAAACATTTTCCGGATCAATTAAAGTTTGAAAAGGAAATGAAGATAATTTAGAAGAGGGTAGCTGAATTTTAGATTGTTTTACTAATTGGGTCGAGGGAATATATCTGTTATATAAGTTATGTAAAAGAAGAAAGGGTGTGAGAACTACATTAGAAAATATATATAATAAAAATAAATAAGTATTTTATTTCTAGAAGCATTAAAAATCATACCATTCAATTAATTTATGGTTATGGTTTAACTTAATGCAAATAATATTACTACAAATATAGCACCCTTTTAATGTGTTTTAATACCCTTTATTTCCTAAATTCTGTATTTTTTAGTATGTTATCCTGTGGCGCTAAAACTTAACTTAACTTGAACATAAGGAACATTCTTTTTTCACTTTGCAGTGAGTAATTTGCCGTTGTTAGATGATGGCCTGGCCATTAATCATTTTGTTCATGTTTCTGGACGTGCGGCTGTCATGTTGAACTACTTTTATAATTTTCATGCTGTGTGTTTGCTTGGTCAGTTAATTTTTTATAACTTTACTTGTAGTACTTGCGGGTTTTGGTACTCGTGTAATCCGTATGGGGATGAAAAAGTTTATGATTGCTTCTCACACATGAAGTGAGTTTTCGCTTTCATCCTGTACTTCAAATTGCTGTTTGTCGGTTTATTGAGCGTAAATTAATGCAAATATGTTGGTAGAGTCGAAGAGGGTTTTGGTGACCCATTTATCCCCATTGGGTTATCCTTTGAAGGCATTGCAATTATCGGAGATCTTTCACTTGACTGCACAAGTTTGCGGCGAGTTATGTGTGATTTGCATAAGGTACAAAAGGCCGAAAAACCTTTGACAATTAGTGTAAGTATTTATAGAGGGTTTTTTGTAACCTTTGCTACCCTTTATTGTCGGCATCCCTAAGAGGGTCCTGTTATTCTTTGTTGTGTCGTATTTTGTGTAGCCTTTGGCTAAGCTAAATTGAAGTATGCTTGATGTTTATTATGCAACCACAATGTGCTACTTTGTGCTACCTTTTGGCTTTCACGCCTTTGAAATACATTTAATCCATCATTGGACAGACACACGTGCAGAATGTGAAATAGGATGGACCTTCTAGGGTTAAGATGGGTCTCTTAAAAGCTGAAATAAAGTTAAATACATGAATATGACGTATACGACACGTAAGGCTTGGTAATTGTATGTTTATTTCTACAATCAGTTAACAAAAGCATACAAAATAAAGAAAAATAGGATCAAATAAATGAAAATTTATAGAAGTTTATTAAAGCAATAAATAATTTTATATATTTAAATTATTACGTATACGACACTTAAGCTTGGTAGTTTTATTTTTATTTCTAGAATCATTTAAATAAAGCATACAAAATAAAAAAAATAGATACAAATAAATGGATATGAATCGAATTTTATTAAACAAATAAATAATTGTATATTCTACAATCATGAATATTACGTATACGACACGTAAGCCTTGGTAATTGTGTGTTTATTTCTACAACCAGTTAAATAAATCACACAATATAAAGATAAAGAAGTAATACTAAAAGCAAGCGAATATAAAATGGATCATTTTATATATTTAAATCATATTTTTTGTAATAAATATTTTATAATAATACACGAGCACGTGTCAGAAAATCCTGTTAGCCACCCTAATGTAACATATATCCATTCAAAAGGATACCGGCCTAGCCCTTGGCCATGTCTGACTGTCTACAGCTTTATTGACTCCCCGTTTTCAATTTGCCTGAACATAAGAGCGCCCCGAGAAACCTGTTGAAAAGGTGCAAAATCGCTCATTCATTCGTTAGCTCGTCCTCCGTTTACCCTTAGCCCTCGTCGTCCTTAGTCCTGCCCTTGTTGAGCAAACACGCTTAGGCAGCCTTATCAATCAAAGGTATCTCAGTGTATGTATATGGACTGGAGAACACACCCACGACGGAAGAAGATACAGAGATAAAGGACACGCCCACACATATGTTATTAATATGGGGTGCCATTTATCAAGGGCCGGGACCCGTTGAATCCTTGAATGGCGCGAAGCTCCTCAATGCAATGTGTCTGATCGAGTCAAATTCGGATTAAATTGTGCGCCTCCTGTTCATTTTTATTTTTTTGCACGATTTTCTCTCTGTCTCCCCTTAATTTATTTTTATTTAAGTATTTTATGGTCGTTTGTCGTGCTAGACGGAGGTCCTGTGGAGTGTGGTGAAAGCGATTTAAGTTAAATCGTTTCTCCAGGCGTGTCAGGTGGCTAATGAAATGGGCTGCGATGTGTATCACAGGCAATTAATATTGATTGGCAACTCATAAATTTGGTGGGATAATTTATGTTGTGCGGAAATGAAGATAAATCTATGGGTATCCTTTTGATTGAGACCCGTATGTACTTTTGAGTTAATTAAAGGAATTACTGGGTATTTTAAAGGGATTTTTAGGAATGGAATCAAAAGAAGTAATAAATATTTGGCAATTGCAATTTTTGAGCTTTATTTATATTATACGGAATTATTTCAATTGATTTTACAAACATTAAATGCACTTCAACTCTTTATATCCTTTTAAAATTTGACAACTTAATCCGCTTTGACAAGAGGTCCACAAATGACCCGAAAATATGTAATCCCATTGATTTCCAACAACCCATAACATTTACCTTACTTTCCCTAATGCGCCATTAGATTAAACCACAAAATTTCCTTTTTTTCCGATTGTAAAGTAAAGCTCAATATGTCAAAGTTCGCCGGCCATTGACATTAATTAATGGAATGTAAAATGAACAGTGGAACAGCAGCAGGAAAGCAGATAGTCGGGCAATTAGGTCGAAAGCTCAAAGGAGCAGGATCTCAGCCGGATACGGATGCGAAGGACACACAGCTCGGTGGGGTGGCGCTGGCGATGGCGATGGCTATCGCGTATAATTTGTGAAAATTGATGATTTGTTTAGATTTACGAATGAGCGCACAAAAACGAACCAAATTGGCACGTAGCAAAGGACGAAAAAAGGAAATCCGAACAAAGGTGAAGGAAGCAAGGTGTTTCCATGCCGTTTTCCTTCAGTTATTTTGCGCCAACGCAGGCCTCAAGGTGTTCGCTAATTGATTCGATATAGATAAATGACCCCTGAGGGCGCTAGATAAATGATTAATGAGCCCTTTCCTAAGGGTTTTGTGGACACAAGGACTCGTGGTCATGGCCATTTCCGGGCATTCTATTTCATACTTTCTAATTGCTGCCGGTGTCCATGGTTAGGCCCAGGGAACTCAACTCCCATCGCCACTCGAAATTTGAATCCTGCTGCGGCCATAAGCCTTAATTACTTGTTGATTATAAATTATAGCCAGCTTCGAGCGGCAATGGGCGGCCACTCGACTAGGCAGCTGATTAAATAACTCAATTAGACGGAAAGCAGGCCTCCTGCCAGTCTACGAAGCTCATCAACTACTAGTTTGGTGGGAAATATATACACAAATGAGTGTTGATTGGAGCAGAGGATGGGATGGGTGAATACGGGAGAGCTGACTAGGCATTTATAATGAATCTATGAATTTAAGAGTAGATACTACGTTGTCTTAGAATATCATAACTAGGTAGCTTCAGGAATCACTTGGTTTATAAAACCTTTAAAAAAAAACCAATAAGCAAAGCAATTTTTGAGGTAGTAAAACAAATGTTTAGGGTAATTTTTAACAATTTTGAAAAAGACTACAATTATGGTACAGGAATTTTAAAATATATCCTGTAACAAACTAAATTATTTATGTTGCATTATTCGGTTTTTAGAAATAAATATCATAAAATCCAAACTGAACCCTTTTATCTTTAAACATGTTCGGATAAGATACAATTAGTTCTATCATAAGTGCGTTAAAGATACATTATTTGGATAAACCACGGACGAACACATTCTATTTTTGTTGAACAGAATTATCGCTGACTGGGTAATTCCCGTATATTTCCCACTCGTCCACAAACTAATCTAAACGAAGTGCCTCGGAACCAATTAAGATCGAATGAATGGAGAGAACCCACGTAAGACGACATCGAATCCGCACACTTCGCCACTCCACGTAAAATAGATAAGATGCCTCCTGATACTTTATTGTTGCGACAAAGATAATAGGACTAGGGAAGGTTTTTTTTTTTTTTTGTATTAACCATTTTTCATTAATTTGGCGCGATATGGCCGGGAGGGACTATTTAAAGATGCCCTGGAGCATTTAGGGTGTTAAAACTGAAATGAAGTGCGTCCGATTGCCATTGCTCCTGCTCATTGGCCTCCTGGCAGCTCCGGCTGCCTGGGGTCGTGTGCCCTATCCCATTGAGGTGGAGTTACCGCCTCTTGTCCATGAGGATGAGATCATCGAGCAACCCATCATTGTTGCTCCCCAACCCGTTGGCCGTGCAGGAGGTGAGTGTGTTACCAAGTACTCCTCCTGATCTTCACATAAACCTTGATTTTTTTATAGCCTGCAGTGTGACGATTCGCGGTGGTCTTCCCAGTCCCCAGCCCGTGTATCTGAAGACTAACTCCGAGGACTTTTATCCCTTCTCGGATGTCGGTGCCATGGAATTTGAGTCGGGTGGCAGCCTGCAGCTGTGGTGTCCTTCGGGCTTTAATACTCACTCGGAGAATCTGATTACAGCCAATGCGTGAGCGGCACTACCTTCAGCGTGGGTGGAACCCACTTTGAGTTCAAGGATCTGTACTGCAAGTCCTGGCCGGGCTTCAAGGCTGTCAAGACCGGTGGCACCTGCAATGGTGGTATTGAGATCCGTGTTGGCTTCGAGATCACTTCATCGCGCTTCGCCGAACAGATGAAGATTTGTTTCAACGAGGAGGAGGAGGTGACCCGCTATACTCGCCACACTCTGGAGCCCGGTAGCAACTACTACGAGACTGGAGTGGCCAGGATCACTTTCCAGACCGCCGGCTACTTCAATGGCAAGAATGTGGACAAGCTGTACACCCAGGCCACCCAACTGGAGACCATTAACAATGACCTTGGCGGTGATGCGGAGAAGTACTTCGACACTGCCACTAATGTGTATCTGGCCCGCGGTCATTTGGGTGCCAAGGCTGACTTTGATTACGCTCCCGAGCAGAGGGCCACCTTCCTGTTCATCAATGCCGCTCCTCAGTGGCAGACCTTCAATGCCGGCAACTGGGCTCGCGTCGAGGATGGTCTGAGGGCCTGGGTTTCCAAGAACAAGATCAATGTGAACTGCTACACTGGTGTCTATGGTGTCACCACTTTGCCCAACAAGCAGGGTGTGAGACTCCCCTGTATTTGGCCAAGGATGGTAATAACAACGGACTTATCCCTGTGCCCAAGATCTACTTCCGTGTGGTCATCGAACCCACTAGCCATAAGGGCATTGTGTTTGTTGGCGTCAATAATCCCCATCTTACCGAGGATCAGATCAAGCGGGACTATGTTGTCTGCACGGATGTGAGCGACCAGGTTACCTACATTAATTGGAAAAAGACGGACATTAAGGCCGGTTGGTCATACGCCTGCGAGGTTGCCGACTTCCTGAAGACCGTCAAGCATTTGCCTGCTCTGACCGCCAAGGGAGGTCTCCTCGTCTAAATGGTGATCAAATAAAGTGTAAAACCTTTCAGAATTTTATTTCCAATGAGCAAGCCAATGGGAGTCATCACAAAAAGGTGTATCAGAGATTTCAGTTGATTCGCTCCATTCTTTTGCATAACCTCATTGATCCATTCCAAGTGTTTAAGACATTGGTGAAAACCGAAGGCAGGGCTTTGGATCCGCATCCGATCCTATAGCTCACCACCCCGTAGACAGTCTCCTGGAGAATCAGGGGACTACCGGTGTCACCAGCACATGCATTCTCATCCACATCTTCATTTCCGGCACACATCATCTCATCTATGTAAGTGTTTAGTTTCTTTTTACAGCTCTCTTGGGTTAGTAGTTTCAAATCGATGCTCATTAATTGGGCGGCCATGAAACCGTCCTGTAAATAAGGATCTATTACTTATCGAATTTAATTGGGAACTAGGTAGGAGAACTCACCTTAAACATCCGGCCCCAGCCTAAAACCGTATAGTTGAGACCCGGTTCGGGTTCGGCCTTTGGCAGGTTGATAATACCCACATTTGGATTGTCGAGGGGCAGGCGTTTGCCCAACTTTATTAAAGCAATATTGTGGGTATTGTAAGCCGTAAAATCGGTTGGCACAAAGATCCCAGCTACAGTCAAGTTAACCACATGCGCATTTCTATGATCCAGACGATTGAATCCACCAGCCACAATGACCAAATACCGATTCCGATGCAAGATCTTGCGCTGACTTTGGATCAGAAGAGAGTTTTCGGATAAGTACATCCATTTTAAGATAGTTTCTATATAGAGAGCAATACCTACTCCATGACACAGTGGGCGGAGGTCAGGACAAAGATGGGCGAGATAATAACACCGCCGCAGTAATGGTTATCCCCGAAGCAAAGACTGGGTGTGCGGGATCGAAGGGAGACCACATATTTGGCAAGTTCGAAGGTTTTCTGTTCGAGACGAGGACTGGAGAGGCGCTTCATCCGCCGACGGTGATATGGGTTTACTTCAATAGGATTTCCAGCATCGGGGATTGGCAGGAGAAGCAGCACAAGCCAGAGCAACCTGCTATAGTTTCCAAATACATTATATTTAATTTGTACCATTCTAGAGAAATTCAATAATTTGACAGTTTATGCTTTCAGTATATCTTGCTCCAGAGTTATTTACGTTTATTTATTTCATTTATATTAATTTACAAATTGTATACGAAATTGTTTTGCCAAACGTTAATTAATTAACAAGAAATTTAACACTATAGCACCATAAAGTAGTACAAGAGAAACATGGCATACATTGCTATTATTCATTAATATCCTTCGGATCCAACCAATGCTCTGGTATACATCGGTATACACAGATGGCAAATCGTAGCCACCGCAATCTACCAGATAACTCACAATCCCAAAGATCAGGTCATTATACATCAATGGAGAGCCACGGTCACCACCGCACGGATGCTGCTGCACATCCTTGTCTTCATCCGTTCCGCAGAGCAAATCCTTTTTCGTGATACCCAGCAGGTCGGTACAAACTTTTGGATTTTGTATTCTTATGTGAGCATGTAGGATTGTTGCGCTGATCGGTCCGTTCTGTAAGCACAAAAGAAGCTTTGTGGAATATAATAGATCCCTTTGGTTTGATCTACTTACTTTGTACATTCGACCCCAACCCATGACATTGCACATGGCACCCATTTGGACGGGTCTGTAGGGCAATTTGGCAATGGCGATGTTTTTGTTATCTCTGGGAAACTTAGTTGTTAATAACAAGACTCCAATATCCTGCTCATTCCGGAGCGTAAAGTTATCGGGAACGTAAATTCGTTCCACTCCCGAGTGGAAACTGATTCCCGACTGGTATCTGAGCCTATTGGGTGTCGCGGCTACAATGAGGAGCACATAGGCGGGATAAATGACTCTCGTGCTTCGGATAATAAGGCAGTGTGCCGATGTCAAGACGTATCGTGGCGCAATGATGACGCCTCCACAAAAGTGATTTTCTCCATAAAAATAACGGACTGATCGGGTCCTTATAGACACCATAAATTTGGCCAGGCGAAGGGTATCTTCGTTAAACATGCCAAAGGATAGGCGACGAGTCCGGTTGAGGGATAATTCCGATTCATTCTGAAAGCGATTTGCTGCACAGGTGACTAGCAAAAGGAGTAGCAAACTTAAGATATTTATATGTTCCATGACAGTTTTGGCAAAAACTATTTTTCTAAATCGAGATGGTGTATAATTTCATTGTATTTATTTTCTATGTCAAAGAGTTACTTAGACCAGTAGGCCGCTGACCGAGAACTGGGGCAGATGATCGACCTTCTTGCGGAACTCGGGCACCTCGCAGGCATAGGATAGCCGGCAGTGATATCGGTCTTCTTCCAGCTAATCCAGTTGATCTTGTCGCTGACATCCGTGCAGAGGATATAGTCACGCTTGATCTCCTCCAGACTCAGATGGGGGTTGTTCACACCGATCAGTACGATGCCCTTCTTGGTCGATGGCTCGATGACGACGCGGAAGTAAAGTTTGGGCACGGGGATCAGACCATTGCCGTTGTTATCGTGAGACAGATACAACGCCCTCTGTTCTCCATTCTTATTGGGCAGCGTGGTCACACCCCAGACTCCGTCCAGCACTCCACATGCTTCTTCTCCTTGGCCACCCAGGCACGGACTCCATCCTCCACACGGGCCCAGTTGCCGCATTGAAGGTCTGCCACTGGGGAGCGGCATTGATGAACAGGAAGGTGGCCCTCTGCTCCGGAGCGAACACAAAGTCAGCCTTGGCACCCATATGACCGCGGGCAAGGAAGACGTTCTTTGCCGAGTAAAGTAGCGGGAAGAGTCCATGTCCAGCTCCTTGTCAATGGTCTCCTTCTGGACAGCCTGCGTGTACAGCTTATCAACGTTCTTGCCCGCAAAGTAACCGCCGGCACCGAACGTAATCCTGTCCACTCCAGTGGCATAGTAGTTGTTACCGGGCTCTAGGCGATGGTACACATACCGGGTCACCTCCTCATCCTCATTGAAGCACACTTCGTACTGCTTGGCAAAACGGAGCCAGAGAGTTCAAACCCACATTGATCAGAGTGGTGCCGCCATTGCAGCTGGAACCGGACTTCTTGCCCACAAAGGCTGGCCAGGATGTGCACTTAATGGCAGACAGATCATGGTCCTTGCCATTGATCTTGAAGGTCGTGCCGCCCACACACTTGGCAGTCACCGATTTCCCGGACAGAGGAGAGGCCAGGCTGCTGGTGCAATGGAACTCAAGGTCCTTGTCGTAAGCCACGTCCACATAGCCGGTGTCGGAGAAACCAATATCTCAGAGGTTCCGGTCTTGATCAACAGTGGCTGGGGATCCTTAGCTCGAGCTACGGATTTTGATCGAGCAGCCAGCTAAGAAAGGAATGAATCTCGTAAGGAGCCCCTTGTCTTACACCAGGACAACTACCTGCTTTGGGCTCAATCACATTAATCTCTTCCGGAACCTCGGGCAAGTCCCAAGGAGAGGATCCTCTTCCTGCGGCAGAATCCTGGCCTGGACACTGGCCAAGATCAGGCCGCTCAAGGCAATCAACACTAGACCCTTCATGTTTTGCAACTGCTTGGCCCCATATGGAGGGCCAGTGCTTATAAACCCCCATCGATTTCTGATTAGATTCCCCGATTGTGGCCATGTTTGCAGTGGTTGGTATCGCCACTTGTTGATGCTTTGATTGCTTCACGTGTCCCCTCCAAGTTTCGGGTGCTCCGTTCCCAGCATTATCATTTAATTAGTTTTTGGCCAGCCGTGATTAGGCTCTGCTCCCGTGTGGTTGAGTGGAGCGCCAAATTAAATGCTCTGGAACCGGATGAAGACCCTTCTTCCTCCTTCACGTGCCCGGCACGTTTTGCTATCTTCAAATATCATTTGCTGTTTTTTTTCTTTTCTCACAAATATCAATTGTTTATTATTATTGGTTTTATGGTAAGGTATACATCAAACTCACATTTATTGGTTAGTTTTTAACTGGCTGGTTTTCGGGTTGTTATGTTTTTGGCGCAACTGTACTTAAGATTACCTACTATATGTACACATACAACATTTATAGATATGGTTCTTGTTATTTATATTTATTTTTCTCATTCATATTTACGTCACCGATAACAACTTGATTTGGCTGGAAGTATTTACAAAGTAATCTCCTAAGCACTTAATAAACATTTTAAACGTTTATTGGTAAGCATTTTTTGCCATTATTTTGTATTGTTGCTATTACATTTGTTGGGCTTTTTTTTTGGTTAGACAAGCGATTTATTACGACTGTAATCTTTTATTAATTTTAAAGCTTTTTTTGGTTTTGGAACACAAAATTCTTGTTTCTAAACTCTTTGAGAGCTACATTTGTATTGATTTAATTTTGAATAGAAAAGAATACTATTTATTGAGTTTTACATTTACATTTATTGCTATTATTGTTCTTATTGGTACTGAAATTTTTATTTTAATAAGTTGCTGAATTTTTACATTTCCCAAAAATCTATATTGAAATCAAAGAAGAAATTAGTATAAAACCAAAGAACAGGTTTTAAAATAAGTTAAAACATAAACGAACAGAGGAAATATCCTCTTCAAAGAAAAGTATTTAAATTAATACTTAAAAATTCGTGAAATTTCGAATTTATTTTAAGACCGAATTATTTATACATTTTCTTTAATACTGAGTAGCGATATGAGTTTGCTTAAAGTTATTTGAAGAGTTAGTTCAAGCCTTAGAGAATCTATTTTTGCTTGTATTTTTTAGCTGTTTAAATTCCACCTTGTTAATTATTAATTCTTGGTATTTATGTACATTTAAAGCTGTAATCTTTTGCTGGCATTTGAGATGTTGTTTCGGAATTTTTTCGGTGATTAAAAATTACATTCGCTTGGCCTTGGAAGAACCCCGGTTTTCAGAGATCTACAGGAATATGGCGATCTGTGCATATATCTCCACGGCCACGAGGATACCCATTATGGACAGATTCACAGCGCAGTAGACGCGTCGCAGTGGACGTCGGCGTTGACGCTGACTACAACACTTCGTCCACTTTGGTTCCAGATGCTGGCTCTCGTCAGGATCGCCGTCGTCGTCGTCGTCATTGTCGTTGGTGTTGCCGTCACTTCCGCTTCCGGTGGCATGGCTGCCGTTGCAGTTGCAATTGCAGTGGCTGCCACCACTGGACTTATCACTTTTTCCGGCAACCGCAATGGCTGCATTTCCATTTCCGGCCCCCGATTTGCATGGCGGCCAATGTCAAACCGACGCTAGCGACGAACTGCTGTCATAGGCCACCAAAAGTGAATCGTTCTCATCGCTGCCACTCCCCGCACTCCTCTCCGACTCATTGATAACCTCCAATTGGGTCTGGGGCCTTGCGATTTTGTATTTATTGTGACGCTTATTGATCAGCACGCTCCGGATATTGTTATTATGACGGCCACTGCGACCACTACCACGCTGACCCTTGACCTTGACCACCGCCGATCGGGGCTTTGGCCGGGACCTCGGGTCTTTGGCGCTCCCAACATGCTGCAATCAGCATCATCCTGCTGCGCTCCCAGCTGCTGCTGCTCCGTCAGCTCGTCATCATCGTAATAATCATAGTAGTCATCATAATCGTAACCCACTTCGTCCTCCGTGTCCAAACCATCGCCGAAGGCAGCCTCATCGTCGTCATCATCATCGTTATCATCATCGTACTCAAAGTCAAAGTCGAAGATGGCGCAGCATCCGCCGGAAGTGGAATCGATGCTATGACGACGCCTTGACCTCTTGCTGTAGGTGTATGTGTGCGGCTTGTGGCCACTAACACTCTTGTACATGGGCGCAAAAATGGCGGTTTTGGCCTGAAGGTGGATAGAAAAGGAAAGAAGGTATTTATTAATACATTTTATTGATAATTGATAATAACCATATTAATTAGGGAATGAAGTAAATTTGTGTGAAATTATAAGATTAATATTCAATTCCCCTTATATTAATATAGAAAAGAATGGAGCAAATCAGATAAAAACGCTGAAAATATTCGTATTCTTTAAACCAATATTTATATGACAATTTTTTAAACAAATCAAAGCTTAAAAATCACATAACTTAGCCAAAATACATTAATTTTAGTTCGGAAAGCTGTTCTGTGTTCGATTTTTTACGGTTAATAAATCTGCATATTTAACACTAAAAAGAAATTAATTTTTTGCCAAACGATAAGGGGGCAATATCGTTTTTTAAATTTTTCGACAAATTTTGAAAAAAAAAAATATTTTCCGGAGTAATCTAGATCGACGCAGTTTTTTGTGCTGATCAAGATATATATAGTTTATAGGGTTGGAAATGCTTCCTTGACCGAGTTTAAAGCTTCTGACTGAAATTGTAATGGTTATATTTTGCTTTATTATGTCTTGCCTTGATGTGTCCTTAAGTCTTTTTTACTTTTACAATAAATCTAATAAAAATACGCATACATTTCAGGCTTTGTTTGTAAAGTTTTCTATGCATTTTTTAGTTGGATCAAACTAAAATAAATCATAATTCCCATTAGCACTCCCCATTTGGCCATAAGGTGATGATTAATTGACTTACCTCTGGGCCGCGCCATGTAATGCCGGAACGTACCAAATTGTAGAAGCGGAGGACTCCCCACATGGCTAGCACCTGTTCGAGTTCGAGGGAGAAAAAATTGGAGAATCATAAATTTCCATTAGATAAAATGCCACTCCAGAAACACACACACATTCAGTTTTCTTTTCTGTAGAAACACGAGCTAACATTTTTATGCTGCGTAAAGGGACTAATGGACTTAGCTAGTAATTAAATTATTTATTACATATATCGATTAGGCCCCGGCCGGGATGGGATGTGCGCAAAAACCAATTAGCCTCGATTGGGGGATAAAAGCTGAACAGACTTGTAGCTTCTAAGCTTTGCTTCTCTAATCAAATTGTGACAAATTGGTTCACATATAATTTCTAAAATTTACAGTATACGACTGTATTTGTATTTTCTATCCATGCGGATTTTATAAGAAGTAAATGCAGTCATGTTTAGACTAATACCAATTGAGAGACGTCTCTGTGATCTTGGAAGTTCCTACGATTTTATAGCAAATGCCTGTGGACGTAAGGATAAGAGTGCACCTTTATGGATTTTCGACTGCCATGGAGTAAACTCTGGTGTGGCTATGCCGATAGCTTCTATTACTTATGGTTCGTCTTGATATTAGGATTAATTGGTTTGGTAAGTCAAGAGAAATGAGGAAAGCTATTTATGATAATTTCATGGGTTCCCCCTAGATGTACAATATATATCAATTTAAGTTGATTTACTTCTCGAAAGAGGTAAATCCACCTTCCCGTTGGGATAATCTAAGATTCTTTCCAATTCCACCGCCATTGGTCAGAAGATTCGATTTGTTGAAGCGTTTTCTGCAGGCTAATGCCTGGGCTCTTTTAATATATGCTGCATCTTTGTAAGTTATTTTATAAATATTTTAGATACAATTTGGAAGCTTAGTGATTTTTGTATTCTATTTTTTGTAGAAATCACCATCTCACATGTATCCCTGGCTCTTGGTACAGGGTTTTTTAATGATCTTAAAAGTGATCGGTGCCATTAAAAACTTTATTCTGGGATTTTCGGATGGATCACGATATGGGACCATGTTGAATCTAACCTTCCATGCCCTAAACACCTGTATCATTCATAAGGCCATTCAGGCAGTATTCACTGCTCAGAAAAAGGATAAGCCAGTATATGGAGCTATCATGTATTAAAACAATAAATATTTGTTAATTGTTCTATTTTATGATTTTCATTCAAACATACAAACTAAACCTTCAACAATCTTTAAACTAATTACAAAGTGTCAAAAGGTAAGCAACAATAATACAGAAATATGTGTGTGTAAATAGATTTTTCTGCAATTTCTATAGAACTTTATATGTAAATATATTGTTAAACTTACATTATTAAAGCTCTTGCGATAAAGAAAGCCACCTCTGCCTTGCACATGGCATCAAATTGCTGAAAATAAACAATTTTAAAATGCATACTTTATGTTATTGTTTAAATATGAATTATACTTAAATTATTTTCACGAGTAGTTGGTCTGCAAAAACCAAACAAACAACTACTAATAAAGTTGGTAAATTGTTAGCTGCCTTCTGTTTTGGAAAGCAATTTGCCAGGGTGAAGGGAAAGTTTTTCCGCATGAAAATGGAAAGTTTTGACTTGGAAGCAAACCAGATTGAATTAATTCAGGCGGTTTACCCAGGGTCACGAGATAAATTAGATTTACTGTGGAAACCATTCTGAGCATTTTTAATTGCTAACAAATTAACTTGGCTTTACAAAACAATAATCAATTATATATTTTAAAGAAAAATAATTCAAACGTTGGGAAGCGTCTCCAAAGTTTCATAACGAACAAATTAATAAAAATCTCCATACCAATCCACAGCGAAAAAGTTTCTGAAGCCCAAAAAACTAAAAGAGAAAAATGAATTTTTTTACCTTCTGAATTGCAATAAATTATGCATGAGGTGACAATTTTCCGGGAGGAAAAAAGAAAGCCGTCGTTCGTTCGTTGTTCCATGTCCCCCGGCTAAGGGCGGAAAAACAAACGGAACAAAACAAAAGCATGGAAAAGCAGAAACACGTTCGTAATAGAAAAAGGCAAAGCAACGACATAGACAAATGTAAAATTCTAGGGGGAAAATGGTGCAGAAAAATGCCCAACTCATTGCATATGTGTAGACGAACTAGATCCCCCTATATTCCATATCCCCAGCCTAAATGTAGATACGTTTTGTGTGTTTGAGTGTGAGTGTGGGAGTCTGGTCTTTGAGTTTTCCGATTCAGGCAGCTTTTCCGCTCTTTTCCCTCCCGCTGGACCCACGTCCTTTGTGCCGCTTTGACTTTGTCGCTTGTTTTTTGAGTGCGTGTGTGCAGTGGGTCCTTGTCTGGTCCTGGCTGTCTGTGTGTCCTGTGAGCCCCTCGCTGTTTATATCCTTCGTTTTCGTTTTCTATTTCCATTTTTTTTTGTAGCCTGGGCCTTCTGCGCTTCATTTGTTTGAAGAAGGCACTTTGGTTGCGGCAGAACTGGGCTAAAAAAGGAGTTAGCGAGTCAAGAGGAAGGTTTGAGGGTTCTCAAAGGTAAACATGGAAGTTGTGAGTATATTTTTTCATGAGTTTTCTTGGGTTTATTAATTTATTAGGAACATATTAAAAAATTATAAATATTAAGCTTGTGGATATGCAGGAAAGTTGAATTAATTTGGCTAAAATAAAAGTATATAATACATCTAGAAAATCTGTTGAATTTAGACTCGCTTTAATTTCATATTATTAATAGCTTTTAATATGACCCATGAACTTGAAAACATACATTTTATTATTTACGTATTTAAAATCCTATTTAAAGTTACAAAATCTACACTTCAAACCCTAAAAACCCCCCAACTCCCACCTGTATCTATCCAACTTTTAATCATTGAGTTTTTCTTTTGATTTTTCCCTAAATTGAACATCTGTGGTCCGTTGTGTAATCATTTTCCCCCTCTACTATATACTTTTCTATCTTTGTAGTATCCCCTAGAACCTCTCTTTTAATTCCCAGCCTGTTGCACGTCGGTTTGTGTTTACATTTACTTGGCAACTCCATCCTTTGTTCCCAGTGGCAGGAATGGCAATGCATCCAACTGTCGCCAACTTCCGACCATGACTGCCGCACACAACCCACTACTTTTGTTTGATTTTAGCATAAAGGAAGGCTGAGGCAACTTTTTACATATGTAACGGATTCAGTTTGATTGGTTGTCGTAGAGGGTTTTTTTTTGTAATTTATTTGTTTGTCGTTGCCCATTGATTTATGCCGTGCAGCGGCACAATTGATATTCCGCTGATATTCCACAAGGACTGGAATCCTTTGTGGGTGATGTTTTTCATTAAACAAATGGTTCCCCACAGCAGAGATCGAAGTGAAACAATCTTAAATATGCATTAAAAACACTTTTCCCGACACCAGGGATTCCCTAGAACCTTTGGGAGGATGGCACAAATGTAGTACTCACCTTATTAACATGATCTCGCAAAACATTAGAGTAAACCATGGCGACAGCTTCCAGGGCCATAAATGTTATATAGCCAATTATCCAGGGTACAATTAAACCGGGGTTCTCCTATGGAAATAACGCAAAAGAAATAAAATTCCACCATTAGAGAAATTAAGGAAAAAGGGCCGCGAATGGAAGCTATTGATTTCATGGTCGCACCATAAAATATGGAGGGTGTGGACAGGTGAACAGGTGAGCGGAGGTGTGAGGTGTGCGGTGTAATTTATCTCGCCATGGTGGTAAAACCTCTGATTGGATTTTTGTTAGCCAAAAAAAAAGAAGAGAGAAAAACTGTGTGCTGAGCGCATGTTGGGAATTCCTGATGTGCAGCTGACAGTTTGTTGGCCGCAGCGTTTTTGCATGCAATTTCCCAGTGGAGGCCATGGAAAATGTATTTTTCCACCGCGGATTACATTCTAATTTGGGCTATGATGCTTGTCTAATTTATGAATATGTATATAATCCCATAATAAACATTTCATTTCATAGAAATAACTCTGCGGTATAAAGTTTCACTTAATTTTGTAGAGGAGAAACATTTTATAACAGGCTATTTTAATCACAATTTATTTCTTTAAATTAAACACCATTAGCAATGAACTACTGTCCATATTAAGAGACCAAAATAGGCAGAAATTAATGTGTGTACATAAAACAATGAAATGTATTTATCTGTTATATAAGCCATCAGTCTCAATTGCTGCCAACCAACTTTCGCATGTTCTCCACACACAAACTCACACATTTGTTGTCCAAATACTCGTTTAGCCTAATTAAGAACCAATGCTCTATACATTATTTAATGGACATCAGCTGCCGACGCTCTCAACTCGAGGAGCCAAGGAGCCAAGCCAAGGATGGGGGCATCGCCTATTAGCGCAACTGCAATGAATTTGACCAATATATGGAGACTAGGAAACATATCCATTTTGCCCCGACTGTACGGGGAAAATTCTGGCACAAAAATCGCGTTTCAGCTTGTGGAAATTAAAAAATTCCACAAATGTAGCTGGCACAATTGCTCAGCAAACATAAACCCGAATTGTATTTGGGCTTTGTAATCCTCGGCATGTGTCCTGCCAGCTCATTCCGGTTCAGTTTAGTCCGCCATACAGTGTGTCCTTGCTTTTCGGTTTTGGGGTTCCCAATTGTGTGACAAATTGTCTACGTTTTTATGCCGCTGTCAATGGGAGGTTTTTTTTAAGAGGGGGCTTAGAGGGGTTCTTTTTCATACATATGTTCGAGATATGTTAGAATAATAAACAAACAATGGTTGGTGGTAGCTTTGGCAAGTCAGAGTTTTATATACTCTTCATATGGGTTGAATTCTCGTAATATAAATATACAAATATTATAAATTCTGGGTGAACAAATTTACACTGAGTTGAGTTCCTCAAAAGCTGCAACTTTTGAAGGGTTTTATAAACTCTAGTGATTTTTCACAGCACCCTAGATTATTCATATTGTAAGATATACAATTTTTAAATTAAATTAATTTACATTTTGATTTTACTAATTTATTAAAAATTCAAAGCTGTATAGTATTGCAACTCAGCTGACTACAAAAAAGGAAGGGAACCACACTGCACCGTATAGTAAATGCGCTCTAACTCGTTTATTTAATAAAACTTTATACATTTTTAAGGTAAATACAAACATATATATACCATTTTCATTTTAAAATGAATAAACATGAATATTTTTATATAGAAAGAATCCTAAATAAATGCAATAAATTTTGTTTTACGTTTTTTTACTACAAACTCTGCACGTTATCGTTTTCCTTTTTATACCCTTGTAGCCCATTTTAATTTTGGTCAGAAGCTTGCTATTTTTTATTTCCAAAATGGGGATTCTCATTTTAGTCCGAAGCTTAAATCACATCGAAGGAGTCATTTCCGACCCTATAAACCATATATATTAATGATCAGCACAAAAAACTGCGTCGATCTGGATTACACCGAATTTTGCCAAAAATTGAAAAAAACGATAAGGGGTTACATCATTCAAATTTGCAAAAATTGGCAAAAAATTTAATTTTCTAACTTTTTTTACTAAGTATGCAGATTTGTTTACCTTGTAAAAACTAGCACATAACAGCTTTCCGAATTGAATTTAATGCATTTTTGGCTGAGTTCTGGTCTATTTTCCGTGAAAGGTATACAAACTTCGTCTTGACAAAATAAGCTTCCTTTCTTGCTTTTTTTTTACCTAAAAACAACTTTTCGTAGTGCACACTTTTTGCTATCTCCACGTGTCAAATTTCGCACTCCAAAAAAACAGAGAAGAGAATTTGTATGTTTTTTTTTTTCAAATTTTCAGAAGGCAACCACGCGGTATGAGCGCTTTACGTAATTTACATTTGAATTGTGCTTTGTTTGGCTTTCTCCGTAAACATTTCCGGGGCTCAGAGGCTCAGGCACAATGCGCATAATTTGCGGATATTTGACTTTGAGTTGTTCGATTTCGGGTGTGGGAGTGTGTGTGTGTGTATAGAATGGGTGGTGAAGGGAGGAGATAGCTTCGCTTAATATTGCTAAATGCGTAGAGTCTTTAATTAAACAGGAAAACTCACCCGACAAATTCCAAATATTAACACAATGCTCAGCAATATCATGGACATTTGTGTGCCGATTATGGCAAAATACGCTATTTGTACACCTGTAAATATGTAAAGAGGATTTTATATTGAAATTTTACTTAATATCTAGAAGATATATGAAAATTTGAGTCAGAATATGAATATAAATATATTTATTTAATATGTAAAGCTTCTTCAGGCTTGTGTTTAATGAAAACCCAGACTATGCCTCACATAAATTAGTTGCCATTTAATATTAATATTTATGATATAAGCCAGTAATTAAACATTTAATTTGAACTTAAAATAATACCACTTTGGGTTTCATTTGGATATCATTAAGCAAAAATATAAAGTATTAAGCTTCTGTTGCAGTCAAAATTCTGGCAAACAGAGCTCATACATTCAACTTCCTTTGTGGGCAGCTCCAGCCTCATTCACATTTAATTTATTTATTAAAATGGCTTTATTTATTATGTGGCTGCTTGTCGTTTTGGGTTTCCCGGCTTTCGGGTTTATTGCCGCTTTGGGCTTTGGCTCGATGTGTGAGTGAGTTTAATTAGCAGCCCAAAATTGGCCTGAACTTTGAACTTACCGTAGTAGACATCCTGCAGGTCGGCCGACTTGTGCATATTGACATTGATGCGCCAAGAGTATATCAGGACGATTAAAAGCGATATATTCTACGAGTGACATGGGATTAAAAAGAAGGAAAAGAAAGACAGATAAAATAAGCCACCAGAGGGAAATGGGAAATGTACATAACACGCATACGCAGTGTGCACCCGTATATAAATTCGTTGTGGGGTCATCATCCACATCCACTTCCGCCCTCATGTTTCTCCTCCGCCACTTCCTTCGCTTTTATGGCCAACTCTTAACCCTTTCCGTCTCTCTTTTTTTTTCATAACATGGTTTTACTTTTAAACGGGTCTGAACTCAATTTGATTTTAGGGTCTGAGGTGTTGGCTGGGGATTTTTGTTGCTAATTAATCCGTGAAAATGTTTTCGTGTCGCTTGTCGTTTTGCTGCTCTGCGGAAATGGGTATTAAACTTGGGAAATTCGCTTTCCATTTAATGACTCATTTAGGTAATACAGTAATTTTGCATTTTATAAATCAGATTCCAGAAAACAAACTAAAATTATGTTAATAATTTATTAAAGTCCGTTGCAGCGAATTTAACTTTGCCTTAGGAAAGCTTATAAATAACTGAGGAACCAATTTCCAGAAGAACATTTCCCTTAGGTATTTAGCAAATAAGCAACAACGACGATAAATAAATGCAAAATGGCGTGCTTTTAAGATACATCCATTATGTGTCGTGACTGCACTCCCAGGTGTAACTTCCCCCGAGTCCCATGAACCCCAAACCCCAACCCCAAGCCCAACTATAACCCCTCTAAGTTAGCCAGGTCAGGTCAGGTTTATGCTAAACACGTAAGCTTTGGCTGCTCCTCTTATCCCCGCAACTGCCATAAAATGTGGCACTAATTGCAGAAGCCAAAACACTTAAGTTCTCGTCCTTAAAACAAAAACTAATTTACTTGCCACAAGTTGGTAACGGACATAATGTGTCTATTGTCTTGCCACCAAGTTGCATTGCGTTATATACTTCTTATGCTCGTAATTGTCCTCAGCCCTGCATTGTCCTCATAAGTAGTATACAAAAATTGTACAACACAAAAAAAAAAAAACCTCGAGCACGATTTTGCCATTAACATAAATTAAAAGCCATAACGAGCATCATGTAATTGCAATTTATACATGCCACAAGTCGAAAGATGAGAAGAACAAGTGCAAGTCGTTCTCGGTTTGTCTATCCATTTGGCAAAGGCTCCTAGGGGTTGGCGAAATTATAGAGCTCGCTCCGAGGGTTGATTGAAAAGTTACTCAGGAAATTATTAAAGTGAGAAAATCAGCAGTACTTTGTTTGATCGTTATTTATTTGGAGAACTTTAGGTTCTCTTCTTAGTTCTTGAACTCCAGGAATCCGAGTATTGCCGCTTTCGAAGTCTATGGCAAGTCAATTTTCAAGTCGGAAAATAAAGATTCCTCTGGTACATTCACTTCAGGTAAGTCTACTTTAACTTCTGAGACATTGGTATCCAACTGATTTTCCTTTCGTTCTTCCCCCGCTTCATCTAGACCCAGAACATCGAAGATTTCATCAAAGGTGACTGGATTCTGTATGATCCCAGTAATTTCCGGCACATCAATATCTTGCAGACGCATACTGATCGCTTTGATTGTTCGCGAGCGTTCCGTATCTTCTGGAGTTATCTTTTTAGTATCAACTTTCAAAGTCTGTTTCACATTTCTCATATGCCAGATGGTTTCCGTCTTCTTTCCAACTCCATTGGGATTAATCCTTTTGAAGGGTAGAGTGGGGAATCTCTTCAAGCCATTTGATACGCTTAGAGATTGAGCTGCACCTGGAATCTTTTCTGAATTAGTCATTAGCTTCTTCAGTTGGTTGGCTGAGGTTCCAGTGTTCTTTTTTGTTCGTTTTGGCGCCGATTGCCCTTTTTTCTTGACTTGTATTTTCTATAAAAATGAATAAGTATAGTATCGGCTTTTGCATGATTTGTTTCCCGGTGTTTACCATTTATATGCCGTTTTTACTTTCTATTTCTTTATTTGCTGATTTCTCAAGTAAATGTATTTTATTTAATGACATTCAAAATGAGCTGTCAAAATGTTAATTAAGCTGGCTTGCTTGATATCACAGGGTTGCCAGTGATTTAACAAAAGAGCTGAGTTGCTAAAAGTCTTCATAAAAAACTGTAAAGGAATCATTTCCAATCCTATAAACCATATATATTCTTGATCAGCACAAAAACCTGCTTCGATCTAGATTACTCCGAACAAAAAATTTTTTTTTATAATTTGGCCAAAAATTGAAAAAACGATAAGGGGTTATATCATTAAAATTTGCAAAAATTAGCAAAAAATATCGAAATTTTTTACATGTTTAACTAAGTATGCAGATTTGTTAGTCTAATTAAAAATAGAACAAAACAGCTTTCTGAATTGAAATTAATGAATTTTTGGCTTAGTTATAAACTTTTAAAATTTTGATTTATCGAATAAATTGCAATACAATTTTCATATCCATATGAATAATGGGAATATTTTGAGCTTAGTTATGAGCGCTTCCCAATTCGATCTTTTAAATCAATTGCAAACGGCAAGGATATATAAACGTTGTCTCCCCTAAATAGTTTATTTTCCTTTTTCGTTATTAATTGCTTAAAGCTAAAGTTTAATTGATCTAATTATTTACGTGTATGTGCTTTCTAGGCCTTCTTCAATTCTCAAAACCCCCTGAATACACCTCGCTGGAAAAGGGGGTATATTTTTTTTTTCGGTTGCCTTCCCGCTCTCCGCGTCCTTCATTACAATAATGAGGTTGAGAGGTATGCCATGGCCCATTCAGAACAGACTGCAGAAAAACTCTCGCCAACGACACTTGTCTATTAATTATGCCACAATTAACAGGCGAATATAATACCTCGGCAACAACTACTGATTTCGTGCTGCTGTTTTTATTCGTGAATTTTTTGTTCTTTTTTTCCCCTTGTTTCAAACTAACGAGAACAAAATTATATACTTGTCCACATTGCGTATACGCCCCATGGGACCACCGCTTATTTCCCGCAAACACTTACAATTGTGTAAATTGCACTTGTTATGGCCAAATTTTTGGCATGCAACATGCGACAGCAACGTGTGCCGCCGGTTAGCGGTCCATATGGATATAGGATAACAGACTTCATTTTATGTTCCCAATTTTATAATATTTTTTCTTTTTCGGTTGGTTTTTCCGCTCAGCAATGGCACAACAAGCTTTTGGGTCTCGTTTTCATTACGTTGACAACATGGTGGCGATCATGATGATGTCGAGGCTGCTGCTGCTGCTGCTTTTCCTGCTTCCCCCGGGCTTGTTATTATTATTGCGGCTCTGGAGGCTTCCATTAAAAAATAGTCCGCCTGAAAAAATAGCCAGATAAATTGAAAATTTTAAAAGTCATTCGCATAAATTGTGTGAGCAATGTTTTCGTATGCAGCAAGGCATTTATTTATTCTCCGCTTTTGCCCAAAAAATGCAATCAATCGTTAAATATTGAGCACTTTTATTATTTTTTTTGTATATGATTTTATTTCTGCATTTTATGTGTGACAATTTGCTCGACTTGAATGGCTGTGGCAGTGTAAATATCTCATGATTGCATGCAAAGGACTTTGTGTTCGTTTCAGAGCACAAAAAAAGTAGTTGGTTGAATGTGGCATGCAAAAAGCGTTAAGGTGTGTAAGTTTGTGTTTAAGGGTAAAATTTTAAAGCAAAAAAATTTAATTTAAAGGATACAACATACGTATATTTTAAAGGGTAAAAAATTAAACTAAAGCCATACAATGTATAGAAACATTGTCCTCATTATTGAACCATCGATCTAGCTTAAGAATAAAATTTAAGGCCACCAATAAATTCTTTGGTATACTGCTCCCCAATCTATCATATATTTCTAGACTATATACTATAAATACTTGTAGAATAACCACTTTAAAGCAATCTTCTTAATCATCAAACTATTGATTTTTATGCATTTTTCTTCTCTCAATGGCACTTAAGTTGCCGGCGTTCATTGTGGCAAAGTTTTCAGCATTTCCAGCAAATGTTTTCGTGTTCGTTGGACTCACGAGTGATTCGCCATCACTTGTCCGATGAAACTGACAGGCCAAACATGAGAAACTCAAGCCATTCTCGACGAGCTTCTTTGGGTAATTAATGATGGAAAAGGAAGACACGCAAGGGCCGCCACATTATTGTCAGTTCTTGGACAAATATCACTTGATGGCCTGTCCAAAATCTCACTTAATCAACGCCAAAACAAATCTCTAAGATGTTTTCAATTAGTTGCTGCTTAACTAATTACACAGGAGACGCAGGAAAAAAAAGGAAGAAAGACACGAACTATGATTGATAGTTTGCTAGAAGGTCCCTGAAAATGCTACCAAGCCTCTTTTAAATGACCTCAAAAATAGAAAAATTTTCAGTTTTGCGCCCGCATTTCACTTCGTGTAAGCACACATTCCGTTTCCGTTTGCAGGTTGAAAAAGGACTTGCAAGGACACAGCGCCATAGAAACATGTAATGCTCTGCTGAGCATATTGAAAGGATAACTCACACACACACCCACAGAACCGCGCACACAGCCAGCCAGTGTACCAACTAGAACTCATTCCACAGAAACTGAGTTCGTATTGTAAAATGTTTACAGTGTCATAAAATATCAGTAACAAATGGGAAACCAGTGGCACACACAAAGGTCACGCATAAAAGTCGAAAAAATGCAAAGAAAACAGGCCAACAGAAACAATAAGAGAACAATGCAGAAAGCGATGCGTTTTCTTTCTTGCATATCCATAAAAGTATTTAAAGAAGTGATGGGAACATCTTTGTTTTGATTGCATTTAAAGCCACATCTTTTTAATAAAAATACCTTATAAATATCATATATATTGTTCTTGGTTAATACAAAAATGGCTAGCTATATAAAATATATATTAACATTTTTTAATGGCCTTATAAAATTGGCCTTTATCTTAGCTTCTTGGCTTTATGGCCAGATCCAGTTATTACACTTTTTTAAGCCACTTGTTAATGGAACTGTAAGCGCCAGGGCCTTGCAATTTAAAAAGCTTTTTGCATTTTGCATTTGAAAGGCATTGGCTCGGAGTCAAGTGGGCACGCATATTGCCAACATCAAGTGCTTTTCATAACGGCACTGCCGGGAAACCCCCGCGAAAAGCGTGGTACCAATGCCCAGGGGAGACAGACACACACACACAATGAAAATCAATAAAAAATATCGCATTACTTTGCCGGGCTTTGTTTCGGTTGATTTTTTTTTTTTGTTTTTATTTTCTCTTTTGTTTGTGTCGATTTTGGCGTATGATTGATTTCGGGACACACGCAACGTAACGTCCTTCTAGGCACGAAAATTGTTGCATAACTACCCGGAGAACAGTCAGTAAACAACAAAAAATTGAACAAAAAATATACACACACTCGCGTTGCAGTGTGCGACAGCAGCTGTGACAGCGTTGAAGGATTTTTGTGGTGGGTAGAGGCGCTCCACTGAAACTCTAGTCAACAAATTCGATTCAATAAGCGTCTCACATCATATTTACTTTTTTTTCCTCCTCTCCACCAATTCAAAAAAAAAAAAGAGAAAATAGTCTCGTTTTTGGCATTTTCAGTGGAAATGGGTGGGAGGTATAAGCCTCTCAGGCGAAGCCTATATGCATAGAAATGACTCGACTATGTCGGTTGTTGGCTTCCCTTTAAGCGCATTACAATCTCCATATGTGTGGGAGATATTTCGATTTCCATGGGTTTTATGTGGGTGGGGTTGTTTTTTTGGGGGTTTGGGTTTTGGGGTTTGAGATCTATTGCATTCGGTCCATATGCTGTTCATAAAATGCCCATAAATTAGAAATAATTGAGAGATTGTGTGCGACACACGAAATTGGTTTTGCATTTCTGACATTATATTGTGTCGTTGGGTGTAGTGTGTGTAATGTGTGTGTTTTGTTTCGGAATTTAATTGATATTTTATTGAAGGGATTGACTATTATGTGATTTTGGAGTTAGTTTCCATAAACAGCTTATAAAATAATAATAAGTAATGTCATATTTTTTACATTGTTTTATACCCTAGCAGGGTATTTTAATTTCAGTCTGAAGTTTAAAACACATCGAAGGAGTCATTTCCGACCCTATAAACCATATATATTCTTGATCAGCGCAAAAAACTACGTCGATCTAGATTGCTCCGGACGAAAAAAAATTTTTTCAGAATTTGGCCAAAAATTGAAAAAACGATAAGGGGTTACATCATTAAAATTTGCAAAAATTGGCAAAAAATTGAAAATTTGTACATGTATAACTAAGTATGCAGATTTGTTAACATTGTAAAAACTAGCACAAAACAGCTTTCCGAATTAAATTTAATGCATTTTTGGCTGAGCTATGATATTTGAAAAACATTGATTTTCCCAAAAAATTATCATTTCTTCTATTGGTAACTGAAGGATATACACCCTTTGGCTTATCGCAGTTAGCTTCCTTTATTTTGTATTTTTGTATATATGCTTATAAATATAAAATTTTCCCGACCCAACTTGACCTCTAAACCTCTTCAAATGTTTGGTGTAACCCCAGCCAAACTCTTTTCGAAATACAGACTCTCCCCCATATTCCTCAAACTCATTGTCGTAAATCTCTGGTCATATATTTCCGTCTGTGTCATATTTGGGAATGGATAAAGGCCTCAGGCCCATTGACATCGGGATGGCACAGTTAATTGCACATTGGGCCTGGGTTATGTTCAGATAATCGTCACATAAAGACATTTCATTGTTTGTTAGGGGCTGGGCAGTGGGAACAGCAAATAGCCGGAGGGGCTAACTTCTAATAGGTTCCCATGCCACGAGCCAAAACATAGGAGGGGTATAATATTTGCTTAACAAACATTAAAGTTGTTTTGCGCCCCCTTTTGTTTCATTTCTGTTTATTTGGCTAATTTATGCTACGCCTTATTGCTTACTTTGCCGTCACGCCATAATGTTACGACTTGGCCGCAGCTTAGCTTTCTTAGCCGACTTTTGTTTGGCTTGGCTCTTTCCTCCTTTGGTAGTACAACAGGGCGTATGATTGTGTGAATGTTGATTTCTTGGGGGGCCCTTTGTCTTACAGCCGGGTCGAGCACTCATTATGATTCATTGTCGGTTGCAAAGGAGTCAAAAGGTAGAACGACTCAAAAGATTTATTGCCACCGGGCCCAATAATGAAGTTCTTTAGTTGAGTTAATGTTTCAGCATTTAGACATGGCATGTCCGAGCCAAAAGGTTTGGCTCTTAGCCCGGTTATGAAAAGATACAGAAGGGAATTATAATGGAACAGATTGGCAAGCCTTTGGTCTTGTAATCCGGACAGGCAATGGAATGCCATGGCAAAGGATTAACGTAGTTTAAGTGGATGGAAAAGAGGAAGGACTTAAGGAAAAGTATTTTATACTGAGAAGCAATTATTTTAGATCACTTAAATGTACATTAATTGATAATTTTAATTAAATACGAGCCTAAGAATTCATTTATTTTGTTTTATTAATAATATTTCACTCGGCTTAAAGCATTTCTGTTATTCTGTGCTGTGTTATTTTCCCTTAAACATTATTTTCCCCGGCCTGAAATGAAAGTTTTCATTTATTGAGATGCCTCACATTTTCCTCTCTTCGTTGTTGCTTTCAATTTTCCAACCATTTCTGTTCCCTGTAATTGAAGTTTTCTGTTTGTTTTTCTTGTGCTCGGAACTCTGCTAAAAGAACTGTCATAAGAAACCTTTTCCGCTGGCTTCCCCAGAACTTGATTATTACTTATGGACCCTTGCAGGACCAGGCTGGGAATGTAATCACTGGACACACTGGAAAAGCCGACGATGACCCTCTGAAAATTACTATTTGAAAGCCAAAGGCGATAGGCAAACACACAAGGCAAGAGGCAGAAGGCTGGCAAAAGTGACAGAAGCAAATGTGAGAAAAATCTCATTTGGTTCACAGCCTTAAAATGGCAAACAAAAATTTCACCCAAAATACACAAAACACAAACACACAAAAACCGAGATAGTCTCTCTCAGTCTCAAACTCTAGACCCCAAAGCCAAATCCAAAATAGCCGCAGATAGTTGGGCAAACATTGGCCAACTGCCAGATAAAGTCAGCTATGGCCTTGATTATTTCCTTCTTCTGATGTTATTAGCTTCATTTTGATACGACTGTATATAAGATAATTCCTTTAAAATTGAAGAAAAATTAAATAGAACAAGGCAACGTAATGGAAATGAAATAAGCTGCTGGTTTAAGGGAAAGCATAAAAGCTTTATGGCTTAGATGAGGGAATAAGGCTAAGATGAATTAAAATTTGAAGGAA